CATTATTGTTTTTACCACAATCATGCAGCTGCCACTTGGATTCTTTACTTATTGGTACCCTTTTCACTTAAATACTCAGCGGTAACACATAGTTGTGTAATATTTTCCTGGTTAAGGAAGAATTTGACAGATAATTAATGTTTTGAGAAAACCCCCGTACGTATATCACGTGACCCGCTAATGGCCGATTTGACCCGCTATTGGCATGTTTACAAGAAGTTTGGAAACGGTAAATACACCACGATGCATTCAAAATATGAATTCACAAGAAGTATACAGTGAAAGAGGAATAAAAATACTTCTAATCATCATACATTTATATATGAATCTAAAAATCGTTCGTTCATAAACACTAAAAGTTTCGCTAGTGACTCATTATTGGCTAACTCACTGTAGTCCCTAATAAGTGTTTATTGGCAGTTTAACTTTCTTTGTCTATAGTGACAAAATCACGTGAGTGTTAAAATGTAGAATAGTGCACGCTTCGGGACTTCTTTGTCTATTTAGAAAAAAATCCGATAGTGTTAGAATGATTGTTTTAATATTCTTGCATCACTTCTATACGGTATATGCAGTTGAATATGACTACACGAACACTTCACAAAACGTAAACAATATTCAGTGTACACACCGCATGAAATTGCAATATTGTAAAAGTAGCTACAAAGGTAGTGTTTAAACTATATATTTAAAGGTATGCATATGTTTATACCTAATAAATATATTTTATACGCGTAAATACCTACTTGTTATAATACTACATGTATGTAACACTGTAAATATGAAAATATATGTATAGTTCAAGCAGACGATTCTTACCTTTGAAAATCGTGACAAGTAAAAGCAACACGAACGAGTTAAGCATCCCCTTTGGTATGTTATATTTAAACAATAGGGTCTCAACTTAAATCACAAACTTCCTTAATTATATGTACTCCTGTGCTCTACTTGCTTTAAGCGTGTAATATCAACAATTTTACAACACTGTTGAACCGGTCAATCGATTGTTTTCTTATAGGTTGCATCGATTTATCGATTTTAGGAACGCGAAGGGAGACGTTTAATGTCAGTTATTTGATGAGCTCTAAATGCAGATTTTATCATTGCCATGGAATATGCGATCATGTTTCTATTCTAAATCAATTTTTTGTTATCATTAGTGATGTTTAATACAAGTCAATACAATACAAAATAATACAATGAATGCGTTAAGAGTATAAATATACATGTTATGTACTGCTCGACATGTTTGCAGGTATGTTTGATAAAATAGATAATGAAAGTCATGTTAGCATACATGAATTGAAGTACATTTTTCGGAAAATATATCATTATTATCATAATGCAAATATTAATACTATATCTACTTCTATGTGCAAAGGTGATCAATATCTCGCTTTCTAAATATAGGTTAAAATAACTTACCTACAGCATAAATCACAAAAATGTTCACAGCGTTAAGTGTCATGATGTCTGTCGTAATACTAAATGACATTGAAACACGCATATTCTACTTCGACGCTCAGTGTTATTTGTATAAATCAGTTTACTACCTTAAGGTTTTATAACCAGCAAGTGGTAATTTAAATTGGAAAGTCAAAGCCGATGACTCAGTGTCTAGACAGTCATCGTCATACAGCGGAATAGACGCACCTGTTAATTAGCATAGTCATTTTACAGATCTGATAATTATGGATATATCATAGAACTCATTTAAAAATTCTATAATCACTCCGGTTCTGTCAGTGTAGTTTACGAGAATTAATATGAAGTATATGACTAGTATCATAAAGGCTACATCCGCAGTAGCACAGTCGGTTATGGGATGGGCTTATATATGAGATGTCCGTTGTTCGATCCCTGCTGTATCCATTACTTTAGACCTACTCTTTCTTTATTATTGCAGTATATTTTACTGGCAATGGCCGAGTGTTTGAATAATTTTGTTCGAATATAAAGCAGCTTAGAAAGGCTGTTTTGTCTCGATTTCTATTATGTTTTATGGCATTGAAATGACTTTTATTGATTTCAATTTGAATGAAATGAAATTGAATTTCAATTTTTACACATTGTTATTAAAAAAAGGGTATGGACTTAACAAGATAAATGCAAACATATTAAAACCAAACGGATAACATTAAATATAACAATCAAATGAAGGAATAATGTTGCAAATATAATTAAAAGAAAAAAACATGGACTTTCGCGGCTTCGATCGATAAAGACGTAGGATATCTAGAATTTTAAACCCCCAGTTAAACTTATTGCACTATGGTGTACAGTATTGTTATTTCATATTAAATTACATCTAACTGAATACATCTCTGGGAACTAACCGAAAATCAGTCTCAGATTAAAATATTAATGCATTGACCGTATTATGAAAGAGGCTCCATTAATTTTAAATCTTAAGTTGAAAGCCAGGCATTCCTCAATACATGCAGGATAAATAAAAAATAAATAAATAAATAAATAAAAAAATATTTTTTTTTGATTTACTCAGTGTTCAGGCATGAAGTTTTTACTTTAGAAATACTTATAAGGATCAATACTGTTATTTGAATTATGAAACAGTTGCATTTTTCGTACCTAAGACTTTTATCATGACACGCCTTGAAATATATTTAAAACTTAAATATACTTTAAATTAGCATAGATCTCATCATATGAATATGAGATGAGATGATATATGAATCAGCGTTCTTTGGGTATACCGTTCAGTTGACTACTCTAAGAATCAACAAAACTTGCGCTAAGATAAGTGGCATAAAGCATCATCTTGTGATCCTCTTCAAAATTTATTTAAATCGAATGACTGTTGTCAATATCGGCCCTAACCTGGGTATAGATTTGTATACACAAATATAATTTATCTTGTTTTGCGAAAATGATATGTAAATAGCTTAGATATTTTGCATCGAGCTTTGCCCTGTGGATATTTACATAAGTTATAAAAGTCATACTTCTGACGTTAACAATGAAACATAAGAATCTGACCTTTTCTGGCAATGTATCTCAGATGAGCGATGCAGGGCCATCATGGGTCTCTTGTTATCTATAAGTGTAGTATATTACTGTTTTCATGAATCATAAAACTGTTTATGCATGAGTTTACTGCGGTGATGAAATTTGTAGAACCATTTTGAAATTTCAGAATATCTATTCCAGTAAGCAAATAATTATGATATTTAATACAAACAGCTGTATGTGTTATGTAATAGTTATAGCACATGAAACGAGTTAGTTACGAGGATATAACACTGGGGCGACATTAACGGGTGTTTCTACTAAAAAAGGTCGAGGCTTCTGCTTCAAAATGTCGAGACTTTTAGGCCGATACTAATTTTTGCAGAAACATCCCGAAATGATGCCCAAGCCAGTGTTATACCCCCGTAACTAACGAGTTTCATACACTGTAGCTGTTTAATCACATTTCCGTTGTGGTTTTTCTTTTAATTGAAATCAGAAAAAAAAAAAAAACGAAAAAAAACTTTAAAAAAGAAACGTGCTTATCTCCCTCTTGTGCCCTTTCACTTTTTCACCTTTTCACTCCCATATATGCAGATAATATGAACTAATTCCAGCTAATGATGTCGCAGTTTAACTGATAGTTTGTGGATAAAGTTATTCGGATTCAAGACTTAAGGGCCTTTTCAGTAAAATTAATCCATTCAGCTTTTAATTCATAATACAATTCTTATTATAAACAATTTATTTTTTGGAAAATTTGCAAAAGATATTAAAGGAATATTGATTATTTTCAAAAAACATCAATTTTTTCACCTTAAACGGTAAAATAATGATACTAAAATAGAAATATCATGTAACTGTGTATGTACTTCATTTGGTGTAATTCCCCAGAGCTAAATCCGTAATGTACCGGAAAACGGTGTTTAGCTAGGTTTTCGAAAAGGTCAGGTTTAAAGTTTAAAACGTGAGCGGTAACTGAACGAGATATGGCAAAGCGCATGCTCGCGCACTGACTCCCGCTCTATCGAAATACTGCATATACGTATAGCGAAAGTTTGTAAGTGCTTCACCGACATTTGAAAACAGATTTACAAAAATAATGATATAAATGATGAATTAAATTTAAATATTCTATAAATATGACAATATTGACAATCTCTGCATCATTTTGTACTAAAAATTAATAAATTTCCTCCACGTGTTGAGCGATTGTAAAGCCCGCAATGCATTACCCGTAAAACAGTTGTGCGTTAATAAATTTGCCTACACAACCAAATAAATCTTGAATATTGCATCTTTGGTCATCTGTGAATAACTTATAATGGCTTCTTTTTTTATTGTGAAATTGAATTCATTATATTACCGTAACAATAAATTTCAAATACCTGCTTTTTAAATAAAAAAATGTAGATTTACAGCGGATTTTGTCATCGTCGTTGCGGACAGATAAACTGTACCTCTAAAAAATAAATTAGATGTTTGAATAATCAAAATAAACTTTAAATTTCCAATATCGGATAATACATTGAAAAGATGTAAGTATCCGTTGCGAACGAGCATTTACGCTAAGCGACGGTAAATTATCGATCGATGAACCTTCATCAGGTGCGTGACAAGATATTTAAGCATTTATATAGGGTTAACTGGGAGTCTCCGACCCCTGTAAAATAAATCCGTGGTTTAACCATCAATGACCTTGACTTTTACCCAAATGACCAAAGAAGATATGTTACTACTAAATATGTAGGACATCGGTAATTGAATATAGGCTATAAATCAGTATCAAAAGAATTTTTAAAAAAGTAGTATAAAGGGACATGATTAAAAAAAGGAGAACCTCAGTAGATATCTTATTTCTATAACTGTGTAATGGTTTATTTAAAGCAATATTATTTATCAGAAGGGGAGATAATTCAAAAATCTATTAGAAAAATATGTTTAAGCATAAAACACCCTTACAACTATTATCATACAAATGATTTATCGAATATATTATAATTGAATGAATACAACATAATATTAAAATGTTATACTGAGTATATATTTATTAACTTGCTAATATAATTGCATCAATTACAAAATCTGTATCAAAATAATATATCGCGATATTTAAAATGGGAATAATAGAGATACATTGGATTTACGAATATAAATTGATGTAAATAAAGTCATGAACATATTATAGTTTGTTTTTTTTAAAAGAGTATGTAATGTCGTTTCCTCAAACGATTGCGACAGCGACGCCAACAATAATCATAGTCATCCAGGCTGTAAAACTGTGACCACCAGCTGAAAAAGAAGAAAACACACAAGGTTGTTAATTATCATCCCACTGAATGTGTGATAATGTAAGATGTAAAATTAAATGTCAAGCCTTCGGAGGGCTTCATATCTTTTTGTATAATGTTACATTAGGTTTACAATCGTACATTTAAATACTTGATAAAAATATTCTTTATCACAGAAATAATACATGAACCATGTACTCAGCTAAAAAAAGAAAACACTTTCTTCTTCATCATACCATCACAGGCAATATTTTAAGCCATCGAAAGATGAGTCGGGATGTAAAATAAATCTATTTGTTAATTATTTTAGTTAAAAATGACCTTCCGAGCAGAGGCTTACAATTCGTAATTAAAGCAGACTAAGTACTTAAAGATATGACACTAGGAATTCTCATCCACAAGTCAATCATATACAACATAGACAATAGATATATGACCAAAATTACCTAATTTATTTAACCTTGCACGAAAGAAATACATGATTATACAAACAAATCACAATCCCTTATATCTCATTTTTATTAAGCACGCCTTACTGACCTTTATAACATATATCTGTTGGATATCGAATAGGTTGGGATTGCAAGATACTTTTGATACTCACATGTTTCTCTAAATGGTGTTAATAGAAAAGATTCACAGATCTCAGTTTGTACTTGTTCCGCACAACAGAAAGCCTTCTCTCCATCCTTAACATCATCTACGTTGATATCGAGAGATTGTGTTATATTTTTACCATGATAGTCCGCGTCAACAATGACTTTTTCATAGTTGCTTATGACCCTAAAATTATCGGAGGCTACATCATTATCCCCCTTATACCAGTTTAATACAGCTACTGGATTCGACGAATCGGTTGTGCAGTTTAGTGTCACGGTTTTACCATCTTTCTCTCCAGTTATGTTAACATATGTCGGTGGAACTGAAAATGGAAATGTGTAACATCGTTTCATTTCAGTTATTTTTCTATCATGACAAACTCGCGCATTTTTAAATGAAGTTTATCAGTCCAAGACTCCGTGTATAATATTTGTATGAATGTAAGACGAAAGAAACGCAAATCTTAAGTAAAACATGTATTATAATTTGAATGATCTTTTAATATGTATAATATTTTAACAGTTTGGGAGTTGTACAATGGGCGTGACCTGTTTTAAATTCGAAACAGTACATTATAATACTATAGATTTTAATAATAATTCAAATTTAAAACTTCTGCAGATTCTGTATAAGAGCCTGATAAGGTAAACGTTAGATACTCGTCACAAATTCTGGTCCTGCTAAAACCATTTAGAATATAAGGTATCAAGTACAATCAGAAACTGTGAATGTCTCCGAGCACGTTTAATAAAAAGGTTACATCAACGCCTGACTTACAGTAGAACTTATTTTCTGGAGATAACGTCATATAGGCCTCGGTGCCTTTGTACGAGAACTTGCAACTGTTTTCCTTGAGACCGTTATATTCCTTTGCCATTCCTAATGTTGCAATAGTGCTACACTTCATTCTATTTTGACGAGTTGGATCCTATGTTAAATATTGGAGTATCATTATTTAAAGCACATATATATAATTTGATTTTTAAACGCTATGTGGAGATAGATTTGAACTGAATGTGCCCGAATTTCGAGCATGTATTGCATACATAGCCGTAAATGTCTACAGCATCAAAATTATCAACGATTCACAAAAATTTGGAAACAAACTGATCATGTCACAAAGCATGTATTAATTTTGTCTCATCGCGTATCTGTTGAGAAACTCGAAACAATTTCTCTTTTCTTACAAAAAATGAATATGATAAAGATAAACTATGAGCTTAGAGATTACAATCGGAGGCTACAATAATCGCATGGTAGCGGGTGCTGCATCACTTGCACAGGAAACTAGTTTGATATTAGATATACATGTATATCAAACATAATTTTGACTCGTTATGTTTATCTCATTATTCCTGTTATTTGTAAAGCACATGTATGTCCTAAAATATTCTTGACATTTCTACAGTAGCTTGTTATACAATTATATAACTATATATATATTATTGTCGTGACATTCACATCATTAGCTACATTTATGACTTTTCTATAAGCGGCTTGTTAGTAATATGATAATTGCTTCTCCGTTCAATCTGATTAAATTGTATGCTCAAGTGATGACAAAGTTGGTATTTATAAGGGCATCATGATTATAGTAATTATATAAAAACCATTGTATCTTATGGCAAATCTATATGCGCATGCAATTTGAACGTATTCGTCATGACAAACTTAAACTGCCAAAGGTGAAATTTCAAAGGTGACTTTTTTATTTCAATAAATTTTATAGAAAAAAGATATCTAAGATTCAGTCTGATATATTGCAGATAATAGACTACAAATCAAACTTTGTTTTCATGTTACCTATAATCTCTTCATGTACTACCTAGTTTTTATTATTAAAAGAAGCGCGGTGAAAAGTTATTTAAAGACGAGTTGTTAGACTACATGTTTTGTACACTTTGGTTATTGCTATATAACTTCTGGTATATTTTCAACTTGTATTTCAAATCTATAGTGCATTTTATTATGCAGCTAGACACGATCTATCAATTAATTTCTGGTTTGACTAATTTTCAAAAGTTATTTAACATTTAAAATCTTGAAAAAAGTGATTCATCGGAAGCATTAAAAACAGCCAAACCACATGGAGATTGCAGACTCGGTTTGATTGAGTGTCGATTAAATTTAAAAAACACACACACATTTTAAAATATATATGAAGAATAAAGGAATACTTTGCTTCTAACTAAATACAAAGCGCAATTCAGATTCTCCATGATATAACATTTCAATAAAGCGGAACTTACTGGTCTGCAAGGATTGAATGTTGTGTGAGTAGGCGCACTATCAGGCACGATGTGCGAAACAATTTGAGGAACTATTTTACAAGGTGGGTTACTATGACATTCACAAGTGAACACTGCTGTTGTATTCTGTGGTGAAGCTACAGATATTTCGGCCCAAGCTGAAAAGTCTGAAAAAAATAACAAGGTGAAACTACAATATCACAAGGTTTTTTTTTTCCAAATCATCAAGTTAGCTTAAAAAATTATATTTTCGCAATGGTGCCAAAATAAATTGAAGTTTTCCTTTTTCACATATTTGCAAAAGTGCTATAAATCCTTTTCCGAAAAAAACATTTGTTTTGTTTTGGAGTAACTCATTATCACTCTCTTACATTAAATCTTAAACTCACTATAACAAATACATGGATTTAGTAATGCATTTATAACGTTTTAAAAATATTACAAATCAGTGTACATACGTTGAACATCAACTTCAGCGGTCTTGCTGTTACCATTATTATCTGAACACGTATAATTGCCGTCATGTTTTAACATTGCATTTTCAATCTTGAGATCTTTATTGTTCACCCACTCCACATCCGCTTCATTTATCGTTTGTCCGCTTGTAAGAGGGTCTGCTAGTCCACCTGGGCCAATCCATGTTGGATATTGGACGTTTAGGTCGCATGTTATAGTGACAGTAGAGTTTTCACGTACTTCTATTACAGCAGCATATGCAAACCCTAAAAAGAAACATAGTTAGAATAAAATTTACAGATTTATTGTAATTAATTTGATTTTTAATTATCTTAATATTTTGGGGCAATTATACAGATTTAAAAGTTTTGAAAAGAAAGAATACTTAGTGGCATTCATATAATTATGCAAGATTACAATTTATTTTCACTTAGTCAACATTTGATATACCATATTTTCATAGTTGGCGTAGTCACCCGTGAAAATATATAGTAAAAACGTTGGCCAGGTGTGAAAAATCGTAATAACATATTTTTAAAAGTATACATACTTTTTTTTACATAAATGTAAATTTCGGATTGGATGCAAATTTCGGGTAATGCACCATAAAAACTGCCATTATAGTATCTTAAGTGACTAAAAAATAATGCATCAGTTGATACATAATGGAAATGACGTAAACGTACAAAACAGACGTCTGCGTTAATAGACGCCACATTTGGCGCGTAAAAGAACGTTATAATATTACAATAAAACAAAACGTCTATAACTGTTTTATACAATAAAACATGTGCATGTATGTATAAACGTGATCAATTTATATAGCATATATAATTGTCGAAAAGAATTACATATAATGACTGGATCAAAAGATACATATATTTTCTTGGAGATAATCAAAACAAGTATGAAAATAACAGTTACTTGTGTGAAAGTATAGAATTTCGTAAAAACGTGCTATTATTGTAAAAAGGGAGATAATAATTCATCGCCATCATTCAGTATATCTTATATATCGAGTAAAATGTTTCTAACTTTAAAACCAATATGTCTCTTTTAAAAGTCTCCTCGTGTTATCATGAACTTTATCAATCGACATGAGGGAAGAGTGAATGATCTACGGAATTGAAATGAATTGAGATATTAGAAGAAAACTTGGGATTAATATATGTAAATTAAAAAAAACCTGAATCTTGGAAAAAATACGCCAAACTAAGTCCGACAAAGTCAGTAATATACTATGAGTGGTACGTATTTTCTTCCACTAATGATAAAACCTATCATTACACGGGGTAGCAAACATTAACATGTTTATTTAACAAATGTTTTATTCATCTTAAAAGTATTTAACTAAGTCATATACACATAATCAAAACTTATCATAATTCATATACAATCAGTGTAATAATAACATAAAATTTATTTAATATTACAGGTATTAATAACTTTTTTCTTCACGTATTACATTCATTTCTACATATATATCTTTGTCAGACATTAAAACAAAAGGTGCAATAATTTTTAAGCAATTGGTTATGTATTTAGACAAAAGTTATGAGTACACTAAGGCACCGATATGAATAGTTATAACTTGAGTCTTAAAATCATACTTAGGACTTTTCTTGAAACGCAGTTTTATCAGTTTTGAACTTACGACTTAAATCGGTCCTAAGTTTCTTGATGAAACGCACCCCATACATTGATAGACATCTATAGAGTGCATTTTTCCTCCGTTGATAATTTACTACCACATTTTACAGTATCAAGGAAGTATTTACAAGCAGCTATCCCATAATTGAAAACAATGCATGAATAAACAACAACATTTTTGCAATTGCCGCGATATTAAAAAACAAAGTAAATGTTATCACATGCAAGTGTCTTTCAACATTGAGTTAACCCTTTACCACATATATACGCGAAACAACGCACTTTTGATCCCCCCTTTTTTTAGGCCTGAAATAGTGAAAAATGTCCTATTTGGGCCCCAGACACAGGTTTTAGTTTGAGAAATGTTGCTAAAAAAAGTGCTCACTTTTTCGGCGCCGCCCCCATCCAAAAGATACATAAGGGGGTTGCTAGGGGGGATGTGCCCCCTTCTGTTTTGGGGGTTTGAAGGGGGGCGGAGTCCCCCTTATCGCCAAGAAAATTTTGAACTTGTGAGAGGCTTAAAATGACCCCAGGTCGATCATAAGGTAACGTGTAATCAATGCTGAAAAGCCTTTGACTCTATCTCAATCCCTTGAGAAGTTGCAGCACTTTAAAATAAATTTTGATGGAAAAAATCGAGGCAAAATAGTGATTTTTGGCAAATTTGAGATGTCCCCTCGTTGCCATGGTAACAGGAAATGTAAGACTGAGCATGTCGTTACAAAGGCAATGGTCCAGTCAACATTTGTGCCCAGTTTGATTAGTATTGAAGCATTTTTCATAGTTTCATAGCAGTTTGAAATTGTAAGAGGAGGCTTTTCAGTGAAAATGGCCATTTTTCACAATATGCTCAAGGGGGAAAGGGTTAATAAGTTGATGAAATGTAGTGCTTAATAAAAATAAATGTTATGTGTTGTCTGTTACTATTTAACTATATAGCCATTTACTATATAAAATATATACTTAATATAGAAAACGGGTGCTGCATAGTATTTTTTTTCATGATTAAGGAGTGATTTTTTATGATAATTTGACCATAATTGGCATGACAAATGTGCCGTATGCCTGTGGTGTTGGTGCGGCGAAAACTCACAGACTCACAAAAGCAAAACTTAAAATAAGAACAACACAACATTTGTATATATACTTGTAATACTTGTACCCTGTAACGCAGTTGAAACACTACTAATACATAAAAGAAAAAACAATATTCAGTGTACACACCGCATAAAGCATCCATAAAAACGCAGTGCAGCAAAAGTTAATGTAGTTATCGCATGGTATGGAACTTTTCCTTTGTTCTAACAAACCCATTATACTCAGTACACTTCAGTGAGCATTTGAAAACTGTATTGATATATAGCAGTACAGTTGTTTTCATTGATTCATATAGGGAAAGAACTCGACTGCTATATACCTTGTTCCTATCAATGTAGTTTTTTTTGTATTTTCCGATCACAAGATCAGTAAATACAAAGCTAACATCCACGGTCTAACACAAAATTTCCTCACAGACCTAACAACACAAAGTAGTTCTCACTCAAAACTGCTTAAGAACCAGCAATTTAAAAGAAAGAATCATTTTTAATGTAGGCATTTAACGAATTACAGTGCATTAAAAGTTAAGATAAGTCAGTAGAAATATGAGGTTACAATCACAAATTTCGCGGATGAATATCTTTTTACCCAATGAAAAATGTTCGACTATTTCCGTAAAAAGCTTTCTCAATGAAAATGCTATTTTTAACTATGTCGATTGCCGAATGCTCCAGAACGTAGTACACAAATAAATCTGACTGTCGAGTAGTGGAATATATACTTGTCGGACTGTTTTGTCGAGAAGATTTTCGCTAAATTATTTTCATCAGTGTTTAACATCATGTTTATAGTGAACAAAGTACCTCGAAATTAATAAGGATTACAAACACGAAATGGAAAATCTCAATTTTAGAATTATAATGTATTTGTTTTTATTCAAAATACATACGTATTACTTCACCGTGGTGCAGAGGTAGCGCGCTCATTTAGGGTGTGAGAGGCCTAAGGTTCAAATCCTCGTCGAGGCAACATTTTTTAAGTGTCTTATTTAAGGAAGTAGCCACGATATGCAAGGATAAAGTGTGGCTGTCATAAAAAAATGAAAAATGATTTTTTGATGTAACTCTAGGCATGCAAAATTCCTTATGTATCAATATCAAACTGTTATAGAAAAAAATCTAAACGCAGTCGCTGCGTAAGATGAATTATAGTATATAAAAATAAACATATACAGGAAAGATTAGAAAATACCACAGATCATGCAGCCCTTTGATTTTCACAGAGGCTCCAATGGGGCAGTGGTAACGAGCATTCTAAGTAGAAAAAAGAAAAAAAAAGAAAATGGAATCTATAAAATAAAATAGATAAATACAATGAAAAATATAAACAAAGATAATTAATGAAATGAAATTTACTCTCAATTAATTAAAGGTTCATCTGCTGAATGAATTATTTCCACTGAAAAAAAGCCTTTAATCTTGAATCAATATAATCCGTCTATAACAGAGGATGTCTTTTGTATATCTGTTTTGCGAGCAGCAAAAACAACTTGAAATCAAAGGGCTGCAACCTCTGTGGTATTTTCTGATCTTTGCAATCTAAATCATACTGACTATCTGTATGTATTTCTTATATAAGTTTATTTTTATATACTATAATTAATCTTACGCAGCGACTGCGTCTATAACAGTTTGAGATTGATACATATGGAATTTTGCATGACTAGAGTTGCATCAAAAAATCATTTTCATTTTTTATGACAGCCATACTTTATCCTTGCATATAGTGGCTACTTCCTTACAAAAGACACTTCAAAAAAAGAAAAGTTGCCTCGACGAGGATTTGAATCTTGGGCCTCTCACACCCTAAACGAGCGCGCTACCTCTGCACCACGACGAAGTTATACATATGTAGCTTGAATAATAACAAATACATTGTAATTCTAAATTGAGAATTTCCATTCCTACTAATTTCTAGGTATTTTCTTCAGTATAAAAATGTTGTTTAACACTGATGAAAATAATTAAGCGAAAATCTTCTCGCCAAAACAGTACGACATATATATATTCCACTACTCGACAGTCAGATTTATGTGTACTACGTTCTGGAGTATTCGGTAATCAACATAGCTAAAAATAGCATTATCATTGATTAAGCTTTACGGAAATAGCTGAACATTTTTCATTGGGTAAAAGATATTCATCCGCGAAATTTGTGATTGTAACCTCATATTTCTATTGACTACTCTAAACTTTTAATGCACTGTAATTCGTTAAATGCATACATTAAAAATTATTCTTTATTTTAAATTGCTTGTTTTTAAGCAGTTCTGAGCGAGAACTACTTTGTGTTGTTAGGTCTGTTAGAAAAATTTGTGTTAGACCGTGGATGTTAGCTATGTATTTACTGATCTTGCGATCAGAAAATACAAAAACTGCCTTATCATAACTGTAATCTAGCTTACGATTTATTTATTTATTTATTTCTATTACAAAAATGAAAACATTATGCCGTTGCGATAAAACAGTTATAGTATAACTATGAAACGCGTAAGTTACGGAAAAATTGTCTCGATCTGACGGCCTCGCCATTTTTAGCTCATCTGTCACAAAGTGACAGGGTGAGCTTTTGTGATCGCTTTTCGTCCGGCGTCCGTCCGTCCGTCGTTCGTCCGTCGTCCGTCCGTCGTCCGTCCGTCCGTAAACTTTTGCTTTAAATGACATCTCCTCATAAACCACTGAGCCAATTTCATCCAAACTTCACAGGAATGTTCCTTTGGTGGTCACCTTTAAAAATTCTTCAAAGAATTTAATTCCATGCAGAACTCTGGTTGCCATGGCAACCGAAAGAAAAATCTTTAAATATCTTCTTTTAAAGAACTGTAAGAGCTAGAGCTTAGATATTTGGCATGAAACATCTTCTAAAGAGTGTCTACCAAGTTTGTTCAAATAAAAGCCCTGGGGTCAAAATTGGCCCCGCCCAGAGGGGTCATTGATTTTCCCTATATGCATATAGTACAAACTTAAAAAATCTTCTTTTAAAGAACTGTAAGAGCTAGAGCTTAGATATTTGGCATGAAATATCTTCTAGTGAATGTCTACCAAGTTTGTTCAAATAAAACCTCTGGGGTCAAAATTGGCCCCGCCCCAGGGGGTCATTGATTTTCCCATATATGCATATAGTAAAAACTTAAAAAATCTTCTTTTAAAGAACCCAAAAAGCTAGAGCTGAGAAATTTAGCATGAAACATCTTCTAATGAGTGTCTACCAAGTTTGTTCAAATAAAAGCCCTGAGGTCAAAATTGGCCCTGCCCCAGGGGGTCATAGATTTTCCCTATATGCATATAGTAAAAACTTAAAAAATCTTCTTTTAAAGAACCCAAAGAGCTAGAGCTAAGATATTTGGCATGAAACATCTTCTAGTGAGTGTCTACCAAGTTTGTTCAAATAAAAACCCTGGGGTCAAAATTGGCCCCGCCCCAGGGGGTCATTGATTTTCCCATATATGCATATAGTAAAAACTTAAAAAATCTTCTTTTAAAGAACCGTAAGAGCTAGAGCTTAGATATTTGGCATGAAACATGTTCCAATGGGTGTCTACCAAGTTTGTTCAAATAAAAGCCCTGGGGTCAAAATTGGCCCCGCCCCAGGGGGTCATTGATTTTCCCTATATGCATATAGTAAAAACTTAAAAAATCTTCTTTTAAAGAACCCAAAGAGCTAGAGCTAAGATATTTAGCATGAAACATCTTCTAATGATTGTCTACCAAGTTTGTTCAAATAAAAGCCCTGAGGTCAAAATTGACCCTGCCCCAGGGGGTCATAGATTTTCCCTATATGCATATAGTAAAAACTTAAAAAATCTTCTTTTAAAGAACCCAAAGAGCTAGAGCTAAGATATTTGGCATGAAACATCTTCTAGTGAGTGTCTTCCAAGTTTGTTCAAATAAAAGCCCTGGGGTCAAAATTGGCCCCGCCCTGGGGTGTCATTGATTTTCCCTATATGCATATAGTAAAAACTTAAAAAATCTTCTTTTAAAGAACCCAAAGAGCTAGAGCTAAGATATTTAGCATGAAACATGTTCTAATGGGTGTCTACCAAGTATGTTCAAATAAAAGCCCTGGGGTCAAAACTGGCCCCGCCCCGGGGGTCATTGATTTTTCTTATATGTGTATAGCAAAAAACTTAAAAATCTTCTTTGAAAAAACCCAAATAGCTTTAGTTTAGATATTAAGCATGAAACATCTATAAGTAAATATCTACAAATTAAACCCCGGGGATCAAAACTGGCCCTGCCCCAGGGGTGTCATTGTTTTTAACTATATGTGTATAGTAAAAACTTAAAAAATCTTCTTTTAAAAACCCCAATGAGCTAGAACTTAGATGTTTAGCATGAAACATCTTCTTATGGGTGTCTACCAAGTCTGTTCAAATAAACAAATAAAAGCCCTTGGGTAAAAATTGGCCCGGGGGTGGGGGGGCTATATACAGGTGAGCGACCTCAGGGCCATCATGGCCCTCTTGTTTAGCAGTAACATCCCTTGATGTCGCCCCAGCTAGTGCTTTATCCTCGTATGTCAGAATTTAATGACAGATAATGATGATTGTTTATTGTATTTAACCTCATTATAACTATGCCAAAGATATGCAACCATATTTCTATTCTCAATCATGAATTCATTATCATTCTTTATCATCAGTTATTAATTTAGAATGGTGTTTAATACAATACAATACAAACCAAATAGGCAATAAAAATAATGAACCCGCCTACTTAATAAACAAACCTTAATGAGGCACTACAAATGGATGAGTACTGCCCGACATGTTTAAAGGTTTAACAATATTTGATAAAATGGAATATAAAAGTTATGTTAGAATAAATAAATTGACATACCTTTTGGATAATCATAATGCAAATAGCAATACTGTACCTCTTTTTGCACAGGTGATCTATATCCCTCTTTGTAAATATAGGTTTAAATAACTTACCAACTACATAAATCACAAAAATATTCACAGCGTTAAGTTTCATGTTTTCACCTGTATTCTTCTTCGGCGTTCAGTGTAATTTGAACAGCTCAGTGAATTTCTACCGTTTTAAACCAGTGGAACACAGGTATGCTTTAAATAAATTAAACATTCAATGTTAGTGATTTAGTGTTTAGAGTCATCTTCATACACCGGAACAAGCGCACCCATAGTTATAAAATTTCAAAATAAATAAATTTATAGCAGCAAACAAAAAAAATCGATTTATCAGTGTTCAAGAATGTAGTTTTTATTTCAGAAATACATGCAAGATACAGTATTGCTAATTGAATTATGAAATAGTTACACTTGTAACTCAAACTTTCATCATATCACGTTTTTAAATATATTGATAAAAGTGCTTTAAAACATAAATATGCTTTAACATGGATATCATCATATGTGCGTATGTGAACCGTAGAATAAGCTGTTATGAGTTAAAGCATCTAAAAGATTTGTTAGTCTTTTCAATGACATTTTATAACTGAATTGTTGGGAGAATTTTACTTGGCACTAGAAAAAATAGTCAGCTATTTTTAAGATCACAGGAGACAAGGTGCTAGCATATGAACTTTTCTGATACGAGTGTTGCTGTCGTTATCCACATTTTCTTTATAGAACAACAGCTCCTCGTTAACTACCTGATGTATTGTGGCATAACTTATTTAGAATGATTCTTAGGTGGTCTTCTACAAAAGATATAAAGTTTTAAGTGTGCCATATAAGTATGTCACAGGAGCTAAACAAGTCTTTATCAGAAGGCATACATTTTAACAGTTTTGCAGACCCAGAAAACACAAACCAAAACTCTGGATTGGACATAAGCCGCTTTCATGGAATGGCAATGAAGTGTTGCATTGAAGGTTCAATGATAACTGCCGTATAATCACATCTGCGGATGTTTTTAAATTCAAGATTGCACCATTTTCGTGTTCAAATGTTGAATCCTGCTTAAAGCCGTTGCTAGGGGAGGTGGACAGTATTTTGCACTTTCTAGTTCCGTCAATGAACAGGTTGTATCAAACTAAGCCTGTACAACTTTTAATTTTGGCGTTCTTTAGGGGTTCCGTTTTTCAAACTAAACTACTTGAGCTTAGATATTTGGGATGAAGCATCATCATTTGACCTTTTCAAAACTTATATAAATCAAACGACTAGGGTCAAAATTGGCCCTGCCCTGTATTACTCAATTTAAAAAGACGTGTATAGAAAAAGTAATTAAAATTCTCTTTTGCGAAACTACGATGGGCCCTTTGTCACTGGTTCTTGTTCCTGGGTCGTATGGGGTTGCATTCATTTAACGCCGCCTTTCATTGTTGATCTTGTTTGTCGTATTTTTTACCTTTCGGAAATCTATAAAAGATATATAAAAATCAGCAAGCAAAGTGATCCCTCGGAAGCATTAATCACAAAAAAAAACAAGAGAATTGCAGACTCGGTTTGATTAAGTCTGTTCATGGGGGATAATGAATACGTGCAACATCCCACATGCCCCCTAGCACTGGCTTGAGCGGTACTCAATTCTCATCACTTAGTCCGGATCCGGAGAACCAAAAATATAACAACACTGAAGTGAAGTACGGGACAACCTTTTACAGCTGCCACACAGCATCAGACACCTGTTGTTGTGAAGTATAAATATCCAAAAATCATAATGATCCATTGGAAGCATTTCCTACCTCAAAATAACATGAAAATTGCAGACTCGTTTTGATTGAGTCCGTGCACGAGGGATAATGAATCACCCTCACGTCCCCTAGCAGCGACTTGAGCGATACTCAATTATCAACACTTAATAGTGCTGGCATAAATGATCCCGAAGGACCAGAAATATATAACAACTCTGAAGTGAAGTACGGGGCAATTTTATACAACTGCCACCCAGCACTTGAAACCTGCTGTTGTGAAGTATAAGAATTGTGACCATTTCTGGCAATGTAGCAATGGATCCAGAGTCATCACGGGCCCACTGTTTTCTATTAGTGTAGTACTCGTACATTGATGTTTTCACGAATCATAAAACAGTTAATGCATAATTTAACAGCAGTGATGAAATTTGTTGAACTATTTTGAAATTTCAGAATATTTAGAACATAATTATGAAGTCCATCAACACTCGATAAGCAATTAATAAATATTGTTGACACTCACATGATACCTGTTTAACAAGGCCTGGTTTAACCAAACCACCTTGTCTATCAATTATATCTTAAGAAAAGTGGGTGTATCATGAGTAACCAGTTTTTTGTAAATCATTACCAGAAATCGAGTGGCATGCAAACATAGTCAAAATACAAACAATGAACATTTTGTAACACAACAAGTAGAACACGTTAATGTTTACATTATTCGGCTGTACCATTAAGATATAATTGGTTGTGCACGTAATTCCAATTTTGATTTTTATTGTGATACAAGTAAAATATAATTTTACAGTCAATAAACAGAATGTTAAGTGTTTATCACAAACTCTAATATTGATTTCGCTCTCGGTGATTTAGCTCTCGGCGAATAAAAGGAGCGCTTTAACTGTTGGCATGGAAACGCATAAAGCTCTCCGATAACTATTAGTTATGTTCAAAGGTATTTATTCGTAAACAGCATGTATCGATTCATAAGTTTTGCCTCGCTTCAACAAGTAAACAACTAAACCACCTCGCCATGAAGCCGATTGAAAGGAACATACACACCAAGAAGAATTTTGAATTGCATCATCATCATCATCATCATCATCATCATTAAAGTCACCATAATAATCACCGCAATCATCATCATTATCATGGTTACGTCAAACTTCATCACATCAAATAACTTCAGCAATAAACCATAGTCATGATAATCTTTCCCGTTATCATCATCATTAAAATTATATTTTCCATTTCCGTCATCGAAATTTAACTTATTATCATCTTATAATTCATCATCTTCATCATCGTAGAAAATTTCATCACGTCTGTCGAAAATTTAATCGTCATATCATTCATTATAAGTTTTGAAATCGCCATCGAGCCAATCATTATCAAAGTCATCACCACCTCCTGTGTCGTCAGTATTCATTCATCACCATCATCAAAATCCTCTTCACGTAGAGCAGAACCATAGCTTTCATCACGCTCATTATAATTATCATCACGTTAATCATAATTATTAAAAAAAAGATAATATTATCATCACATCCATTATCAAAATCTTCATCAAAATCATTTCAATCATAACGTCATTGCTTTAATACAAAAATGCCGGTTTCCGATTCACTGTATGATTAATGTAAAGAACGGGGACCGAAATGTCTGTTTGTTATGATCGATATTTCAATTAAAATAATCAGACATAATGATGATAAGGTGAATAATTAAGCATATTGACCTCCGCGAGTAATCTATAGAGTTGGAAATTCACAGAAATCTTTATGAAATACTAGTAACTGTTTCTAGTATAACCAGAATAAATTTTTTCCTTGGGGTAAATATTCCACACAAACAAGCCCTAATGACCATCAATCGTAACACGGTAAAATGCTAGTCAGATAAATGTTTTTAAATTATGCTTTTCAGATGATTATATTCTGATAAACCATTAGTGAAATTTATAAAATACAATTTTCACTGTAGCCGGACTATATCTGAATGCGGATGAAAAGAAAATCATAACTTAATGGAATAACAGGCAGAAATAAATGCCGTCAAGCGTAAATTTTGTTTCTTTATGAAAAGAAAGACTATGCCATCATACATCATGTTAAAAATGTAACAAAATTAATGAAATTTAACAGACCTATATTTCAAAATTAATGTGACGTCAAAATGTAATGACGACACAAAGGAGAATGCGCGACGTTACGCGGCAAAATCAGTAAAATAAATACTTAAAATCACCGAAGAAGCATGAAATAAAAAGAAAATTTATTTGTTTTACATATAAGATTGAAATATATTTCATTCGTGATCACCAGCTATAATATTTTCACTCGTGGCTACGCCACTCGTGAAAATATTGCATCTGGTGTTCAAAAAAGTGAAATTATATTTCAATCTCACATGCAACACCAATAAATATCCTCTATAACTTGACATGCTCAAATATGAGGCATTTTCATTAGGAAGAAATGGTCTTCAATATTAAGAACTGATGATGATGACGACGGCGGCGGCGATGATGATGATGATCATCATCATGATAAAATAAACTGATACTGATAATGATGTTGATAATGACAATGATCATGTTCAGATGAATTTGATGACTCTTATGACGTATACATGTACCGATGATAATGATGATTTTGATATGATAATGAAGTGATATAGTGATAATTATATCAATGATAATGATGACAATGATGTTTATAATGACTATGATGATGTATTCATGGTTTCAATGATGCTGCTGATTATGATGTACGACGTTAAAATAACTGTGTTATATATGAAAAGCATAAACATCTGCAAAAATATAAATTGCATGCTTATACTTTGGGAGCTTTAGCCATCAAAATTCAACACCTCGACGTATACAGCTTCCGTTTGTTGAGGACTTTATTAATTGCAATTGTAATAGGATGCCGACAAGTAAATAATGATGCTCTCTGGAGAGCTATATCAGTTTGAAGTTAACGGTGCAATTAAGCTTATTAGCTATAGATTTGTGTTATTTCAGTTCTGTTTAATGCGACTTATTGTAAACTTATTTTCTTTAAAAGCCTACAAGTAAAAAATTCATGAGGAACTTCAATCGAATATTTTTAAAGTTGAAAAATATCTAAACAAAAAATGAATAAAATTTAAAATATTTTCTTGGATTCGAACCAGGGTCACTTCACTTGATGCTCTCTATCTTTACGCTATAACACTGTGAAATGCTGAATGGATAACAATGATAAATGGTTCAGGTATGCTTTAAAGCCACTGACCTCCTGGGGCCAGTTTCTCAAAGCTCTGTTAAATTTAACCGTCTGTTAAATCCACTAACAGACGGTTAAATTTAACTGTTGTGTTAAATTCTGTTGCTCAAAATTAACGCTCACTTTAACTGCCACTTTAACAGCTGAATCTGTCTGTTAATTTAATCGAGGTTTGAACCTCCATTAAAATTTAACGGAGGGATCCTAGCAATGAATCTGTATGTGTGATATCTGTTTTTATGCATTGACAGTCGTACTTAAATGAAATATATGCAAAAAATCAAAATAGATATAACGAAGAAACAAATTTAAAAAATTCCTTATCGAGAATCTAGTTCATTTTTCTCCAATTGAAATTTCTTCTATTACATGACGCTGTTTAAATTTTTTAAATGTATTTAATCATTACCATAAGTTATAGGGTTAGGGTTTTTTGTTTTTGCTCAGGTTTAAAACACACAATGATACAAACAATGAATAAAATAAGGTAATTTCAATTTTAAGTGTCCATTAAAACAATTTTGTGTGGATGTTATTCTGTAACCATATTTATTTAGTTCTACATCACTATTTTCTAACTAGTTGGTATTCTGAGATATCGTAAAAAATAATCGATCCAAGCAAAAATTGTAATGATAATTGGTTACGATTATGTTACGATTATCTTCAAACTTATAAATCATTTTTGCTTCTGACACTGATCTCTCAGAGATTAAATAAAATAAAATCCTCAATCAACTCACATGGGAAATGATCACAGTTCGAAGTTCAATGGCTATTATTGTTAAAGAGGTTATGCTTTTTGAATTATACATCTAATTTGATTTCATTACTCAGCAGGTAGCATAGAATTACCAGTTTCCAGCAACATGTATGGGCCTTAACACAAAAGCCTTTTAGGTTGGTCCACTTTTCAATACACGTTGCTCTGTTTGTTGATTATATCCTACAGCTACTTATCTTGTGTCTTTCTAAATTTCAGGTTTCCATGAATTTGTCGCTGATAAATTTAGGAAATACTGGTTGGGGAGATAACTTCGGCTGGTTGATAAACCCGGCTTTTTATAATAAAATCGAGTTATCGGAATTTTTAATCTAATCAAGCTCACCATCTCATACTATCGCTGGAATTCGACAATATCTGGACATTTTGTCAAGTTTGGTAAGATATTTAAAAAATAACACCGACTTTTACCTGTTTGTTTACAAAACATGCCTATAAAAAGTACGGGAATTTCATTGTTGTGCGCATGTGCAGCAGCTAGGAGCTCATTTTGAGGCCTGCACAAGGGTACTTTTATTTATTGACCGGCTACCGGTAACTAAAGCAGACGACGTTTACGTATACATTTTGTAGATGAAATTCAGACTCACTTTTGTCTTGTGAACTCAGAAAAAAGGCTGATTACACAATTGTAATCTTTATGTGGAATGGGTTGAAAGACTGATGTTAAATGCTCCTTTTATATGTTAATGTGTAGGTTGAATACCACTAAATTAATTTCTTCTTCACTCTGTTAAGCTAAGCACAAAAATTTGAACCACTAATTCTTTAACTACATATTTCGTTATACGTTAATAAATGATAATGCATGTGTTTTTACGTAAAAATGATTTATATTTTACATAGTACGTTGCATATAAATATCGTGTTATCATTGATGTTCATTATACTAACGTAATGTTCAACAATTTTGGTAACAAATACTTTTTATTTGACATAAATAAACAGCAAAGAAATAATAAAAGGTCTAAACATGTTATTTTACGTTTTAACTTACTCATTTAAGAAGAAAAACAAAGAGCCGGAATTATCTACTCACGCGCGTTAAAAATATCCTTTTTACGTACCTCTTTCAGGGCCTCTCAAAATTACCCGTTATGTTTCTAAATATAACTTTTATGGTGATACCGGAAAATCGAAGAGCTGAAGTTTATTATGGTGCAAGATTCATCAGAATACGTTAACAAATAAATGAAATATGCCCCCAAAACACTGATTTTCGGCCGAGTTTATCTCCCAAACCAGTAGATATCAATTTTGATTGCGTTGTTGTAGAATAATGCATGGTTCGAATTCAAATGCGCAGGCATATAATCACAAAGGCCGATAGACCTGTATCGGTAATAAATTACAAAGCATTTGAATAATAAACCAAACTACATAATTTATAGCGTAGTTCTAAGTAATTTTCCTGACGTCATTTGGTTTATTGACGTCATGTCTGATGTCATATGGGGTGTCAGCATCCAATTTTTATGCCGTGTACATAATGTATATATATGTGTATAATGTGAAATGTGTCAGAATTTGAGTTAACACATCAAAATTTCCATTTACCAATTCCTTAAGAAGAAGAGTTTTGTTAATATTGAAATTTGTTGCTCTTATCTTTCAAACATGATTATTTTAGACAACTTGTTTAACTCTGGTAATTCAGACGCCATTTTGCAGACTACAGAATGGGGAATTATGGGATTGAATGAACCTGTTAACAGCTGGTTAAAATTTAACAGGGGTGTTAATTAACACTCCTGGGGCCAGTTTCTCAAAGCTCTGTTAAATTTAACTGCCTGTTAAATCCACTAACGGGCGGTTAAATTTAACTGTTGTGTTAAATTCTGTTGCTCAAAATTAACGCTCACTTTAACTGCCACTTTAACAGCTGAATCTGTCTGTTAATTTAATCGAGGTTTGAACCTCCGTTAAATTTTAACAGAGGAATCAAAAGATGGCTGCTTTTATGTTAGTTCCTATTAGAAGAGTACGTCAGTTTTGCTATACCTCGCATTTACATGAAATGACCGACAGTTAAATGATACGCAGATACAGATTTAGTAATGAAGGTGTGAATTATATTGTAAATTTACTAGAAAATGACATAAAAAGGAGTACGAAAAGGAACCATGCCATTTCACCACGTAATCAGGTGTTGCTAGCATTACGATTCTTTGCATCTGGTTCCATGTATGAAGTTATTGGGGATACCTGCGGATTTAGCAAAAGTACAGTGTCAAGAGCGGTTGACAGTGTCACAGATGCACTAGTAAGTCACATCCATGAGTTTGTGCGCTGGCCACATAATGAGGATAAAAAGAAAATTTCTTCACACTTTTACGATATCGCCGGCTTTCCAAATGTGATCGGCTGCATTGACGGCACACATGTGAGAATCCAGGCACCAAAGACCGATGAGGCCTCCTTCGTAAACAGAAAAGGCTACCATAGTATTTCTGTACAAGCTGTCTGTGATAATGAAGGTATATTTTCACTTTTTTACACAACCAATTGTGTATCACGATCTAGGTCAAAGCTGCTTACAACAATAAATAATAAACGAACTTTGGGCAAATCGGTCTAAAGATGAAACGGTATCACTTTCCGTATGTTCACGGATATCTATATACTTAGTGCAAACAGTCAACTTCTTAATTATATTGGATAATTAAATTTAAAAATTCAAAAATTCGCCTCTATTAACCTACTTACAACTTTTTAATATTGATCAGATACGCGTACAGGAATTCTTCAATCTTTAAAGTTCTAAGATTAAAAAAAGAGATTTTTTCAACTTCGTGAAGGTACCATGAAGTCATTAAAAATAAGATGAATTCATAACATAACTGTTAAAAGTCATTCATTTCTTGTGTAGGGAGACTCTACACGGTTTGTTTTTAACTACCCCAAAAGTTCATATGACACCTCAAGACTACTCCAAAAGTACTCCAAGACCAGTGTGTCTAGCTAATATAATAATAACTCACAAGTATTATCAATATTTTAATTTTTAACTATGTATTCATCAAGTATGTTCTATTATAGGTAAATTCACGAGTGTAAATGCAAGTTGGCCAGGTTCTTGCCATGACAGTCATGTTTTCAGAACATCGGGACTTTGTCAGCGTCTTGAGAAAGAAAACAAAAGTTTTTCAGATGGGGTCCTTCTCGGTGATAGCGGGTATTTATGTTATTTGGTTCAATCTATTGCTTAACATCTTATAAAAGATGGAACATTTGGTTTGTCAATTCAATTTACAGCCTAGTTATGCAATTTTGATTTATTTATATTAAAAAGGGCCTCATGCGCTTAACAGAAATAATTGTAACGGGAATTTATTTATGAAATAGATAATTGATGACAGCTCGAGGTGCCATAAAGCTGCATGTTTCTTTCAGTTGCCACCTAAAAACTTTCAGTGATAATATAGTTTTGTTTCTTAACGGACAATCTTCAAACTTAATCTTAAGATACGACTAAGTGAGTAGACCATGACTCTTGAATAATCTTGATAATCAAGTTATAATGCTGCTTGATATTTATTATAACTTGAAGGTTAAATTATTGAAATGTGCTTTAATTGTCTAGGTTGGATTTTATTGATTTTTGTCATTAACTTATGTAGTGTCTTATTCATGCTTGTGCATAACCTCCATTTAGCAAAGACGGCTAATATAAAAATGAACATAATCTTTATTTGACCATGACGATTCAGTGCTCTTCCTCCGATTTGTAATAAAAAGTGGGAGCATAATGTCCCCACTCAATGGTGGCTCTTCTTATTATCTTGGAATAACATTACACTGAAATTACATTTGTAGGTATCCATGTAGACCTTTCATAATGACACCATTCTTGGCGACAGATTCAGCTGGAAAAATGCGCTACCAAGAGAGTCACACAAAGACACGTGTAACTATAGAGAGAGCTTTTGGACAGTTGAAGCGTCGCTTTCATGTTCTTCATTCAGAGGTAGCGGACTTTTTTTATAAAGAATTGTGTAAATATTTATGTAATTGTAAAAATACAATTGTCACATTAATTGATCGGACATTGAAAAGATAAACATACAACAAGGATACATTTTAAATGGTTTTCTGTTCAATCTAGCACAATGTTGACATACATGTTTACACATTGTGCAATGTATTTCTTATTTTGTCATAAATTCATTTTCTCATTAATTATAAATAATTAAAAATATTCCTAATTACAATTTAAAAGGTAAAATGTTGATTTTATTGAAGTATTACACAAGTTTATATTTACCAGGCAAGTGATTTTTTAAATCATGAATTTTCTTTAAAAATTTATCTTGGTATTTTGTATTAATATAATTATATAGTTATGAATTTCTGTTCTGTTCATCAGATACGGCTTGCTCCTGCTAAGGTGTGTCGAGTTGTTACTGCATGTGTTATCTTGCATAACATAGCTCATTTTCTTCATGAATCAGATGTAGAGGAGTTTGAAGTAAATGACTTGGATGTCGACAATGAAAGATGTTTAAACGATAGGCGAGATGGGGCAGCAGTTAGAGAGTTTTTTGTACAGCAATATTTTGCATGAATTCTATTTCCCATTGGGAAATCACATTTACAGAATAATGACCAAATGTGTGTCTTTATAAGAATTTATTGCTTTACACTTAAACACAAGATCACAGAGTCAGGCATACAAAATGTATCAATGTATTAAAATATCATAAAACGTGAAAAAAATCCATAACAAACTACATATTGTCAGTAAACTTTTGTTAAAATGAGACATAAATTTGTTGTACATATATTACTAGTTATAAAGATCATTGACAGGTTATATGGCCCTATGTAAACGGCTATTTGTAAATATAACCCGAGCCGTAACGCGAGGTTTATATTGCAAACAACCGTTTATATACGGCCATATAACCCATCAACAATCTTTATAACCAATTTATAATACAGCAAGCATTTAGAGAAAAATTGTTAGATTTCTTCATGAATCAACAAAAGGCGTGTATATAAAACTATATAAACGTCACGATTATCCAATGAAAAGCGACGTAACAAACGTGCAGTATTATAAATATATAAATTATATATCATTATAATACTGCATGCACGTTTGTAAAGTCGCTTTTTATTGGATAATCGTGACGTGTATATAGATTTATATATACGGCTGCTGTCGATTTATGAAGATATCAACAAAATGATGCTTGCTGTATTAAAGATTCCTGATATGTTATATGGCCCTATATAAACGGCTGTTTGCAATATAACACTCGCCTAGCGACTCGGGTTAAATTTACGAACAGTCATTTATATAGGGACATATAACCTGTCAACAATTTTTATAACTAACATAACATAGTTAAACAAGAACCGGTTGAACCGGGTGATTCTCCCAGAATAGGTTTTGGACACAGAAAAGTTTACCTTATGTAGTTTGAGAGTTATGTCCTGGACAAGGTTCAAAGTGCAATTATTCAAAACTTAGGCAAGACAGAGTTACTGTTCTTTACATTGTTCAACTACAAAATGATATCTATCTACCTACAAATTTCTTGTTCATATCTCTTATATTGTCAGAGTTAAGTCCTGGACAAAGTTCAAAATATCAATATGAATAAAGGGCAATAACTCCAAAATTAGGCAAGGCTGAGTAATGGTTCTTTTGCACTGCACTTCTAAGCAATGAAATCCATCTACAGTTGAGTTCACACTAAAGGTTACACAAAGTAGTGTACAAGGGTGGGAAGTTTAGTGTGAACTCAACTGTACCTACAAAGTTTCATGTTGATGACGGACAACCGGACGGACGAACAAAGCTGCAACTATTATGCTCACCATTTGGGGAGTATAAAAAATAAATATCATGTTACTGTTCACAAAGTAAATGAAGTAAATCGGCAGCATTCATCTCGTTAAGTTTGCCTTCTGCTGCCTTCATGACCCGGAGTTTCACTTCCAAAAGCTCCTTCTCCAGCTCTTGTCTTTCAACCATTCCTTTGAAATAGGCAATTTGGTAGTCAGTTAGAATTTCGCTCTTACTCTTCTTTACTTGCTTGTGCATAGCTCTGGAAAAGTAAAAATGAACATTGAAAGAACCCACCAAAGTCCAAAATGATGAAATTTGAATTTCTTACAAGCAGTACTACTTGGGCACTTGAAGCAAAAAAGTAAATTAGCTATTGAGTTTACTCATAAATATATTGAAATTAGTATTTTTGTTCTATTATTTGCCAGATTTTAGTTTAAAATGCATGCTACTGCTCTTTAAATTATTGTTAGATCATTTTCACAAATACAAATATTATTCTTGAAAAAGTAAGTCAGTGAAAGATCTGAAAATTAGCTAACTTAGCCAATTGGTCTAGAGCTATAACAAATAAAACAATAATACTGAAAAATTATTTCCATTTCCAAACTCATTGGAGCCCCTTTAATCCAAACAGGAGCACTGAATTCAATATGCCCCCAGATACCCCTATTCCAGCAAAATTTTGGAGGATCAGATTAGGAAAAATATATTATGTAACTAGAATAGTGCATGCACTTACAATTTGTTATTGGACGAACGTTTCAAGCCATTGTTGGTCTTGCTTCCACTAGTTGATATAGAAACACTACTCTGTTCACTCTCTGCAGTGTCATCAATCCTAAAATGTTAAAATTTGCATTATATTTGGTAAAAATTTTCATAAAAAAAATGAAATAGAAGTCAAAATAAAAATCAAAACATTTTTATCCAAAGTATAAATAATAAACATGACAACTTTATTCAATCAAAACCCAAATGAGAATTATGGGCCTTGGATAGTGACTTGCAACTAAGATCACTCATTAACTTGCATCAAGGCTTTACATGTATAATTGACAATGTTTCAAAAATCATCTAAAACTTTACATTTAAATATTATTCCTGACACATACACAAAAATAACAAAAGTTAACCATCTTGTTTTATTTTAAATATTGATAATTTAAGATAATTTTTGTATTAGTTAATGGTATATAGAACAACAACAACAAATATCTTTTCATCAGTAAAAGATAAGATAATTTGACCAAACAAAAATTGTCAAAGAATTTTAAAAATAACATACATAATTGTGAATATAAACATTTATTTTCTGTATTTTAAATTGGGTATATTAAAGTATCCTAGTATCTTTAATAAAATTATTAAGCTTATCTAATAACTAAGTACTTTATCTTTTCTCTCTTAAATTTTAATCAATACATTAATGTATACATGTATGAAAGTATAAGACTACATGCATAGGGTTGGGATAAATTTTTTATTTGTATGATTAAATTAATTGAACAAATCTATATATGGCTATAATTTGTATAATAGTTTCCCTATCTGAGTATTGATTTATAACATTACATTAGTACTGGTATTTATTAAAGAAAAACTTCAATTAAGACCACCATTGGTCCTCAACCAAAGTGCTCTTAAGTGTGGGGTGGTCTCCATTGTGAATATTCTTATAATCATTGCTTACATGCTTCACTAATGAGCATGGTAAATTTGTATGAACAAACAACTTGTATTTCACCATTACAAAATAAAAGTTGTTGTTATAACATACTGTACTACAGTAGTCCTTGTCTGTTGTTGTTTGTCCCTGATTGAAAATTGTAGCCTTTTTTGAATAGTTCTCCATGATGTTGGTGAAATATAATAACTAAGCTTTTAAATAACATTTTATTATCTGGCTAATGAGTTATATTTTATTTTATTCTTCAGTCTTTAATTTGCATTTTGATATTTCTTGTGCTATCAATTGTTACTTGCTTAAATTAAGTATCATAAAATAAATTATTATGACAGACTGTCAGTTGTATTTAATATATATTTATACATGTAAGAACAATGTTATAATTGTATCAATTAACTCAGTATGTTATCTACTACCAAGTGTTAAAAATTTTGTACAAGGCATTTAGTGGGAAAGATTATTCATGAGTTATAATTATAGGTAGCATCAAAATTTTAAATCTTGAAACTAGACAGTACTTGAATCACAAAATCTCCAGACAACATCACAAGATATATAACCTTCATAATCAATTGGAAGGATAGAAGTTAACCAGCAGAAAATATAATATTTATCAGTTGTTTCATTTATTAACTCTGTAATCAGGAAGTGAGTTTATTTGTTTATAAGCAAAGGAAAGTCAAGTATAAATTCTTGTATTACTATAAAATTTGGGTAGAGGGGGTAGTAAAACTTTTGATGCAGAAATGCAGGCCTACAAACTGCCTGTAATTGTTGTTTTATTATGTTTGTATGTATAGTCTTAGTCTTTTTTTATTTTCTTTCTCTCTCAATTTCCAGAGCATTTAATGTTGAGATTTTTTATCTAGTTTGGGTCAATATTTAAGTGGCCTTATGCTAATTGTTTCACTGTCAAGTTGGGACAAAATACCTATATATTTAAAAAGGTTGACTATAACTATTGTCATTGACAAAAAATTGGTAATGACTAAAATTAAGAATAATTTAAATATCAAATATGCATAAAATATACATTTGCATACAGATTTCCTTAATTCAATTCAAATCAATTCAATGTTTTCATTAGATTTAAGATTTAAAACAAATAGTTTTTTATCATTGAGTAATCATTTAGTGACTTGATAAGTGTGGTTCACAGTATGTGATGCAGGTAGATAGATAATCAGAATACATTGACAAAAGGAAGACAGTCACCACAATGAACTGTATTATTTAAAGGCACATAATTCCATATAAATGAGAAAAAAAAATCTTTATTGGAATTATATTGCAAAACACTTATAAGTCTTTTTGTGTGAAACTTTGGCTAAATCATCAGCTTAAATCTAGAACTTTGATATTGCATATAGAATTAATTTGTTAATTTCTACAAAAGTTACATTACCAATGACCCTGAGATCAAACTTGGCCATGCCCTTTGGGTCATAATACCTTATGAATATTAATTGATGTATAAGTTAACATGTGTGTCATTGCCTTGTAGACCTCTAATAAAGCAATATGATTTAATGAAATTGACTAGATTAGTCCAACAAATTTTCATTTGGGTGTATATTGCCCTGCCAACTGATAAATGCTCCAGCAGCATGTTGGTCTTAGTGTCAGTCATACTGAAATATGATTGAATCCTCATTTTCATTTTTTTTAATTCAGATTATTTAAGGTTAAATGTACATAACATGGAATTCTAGTATGATGTTTGATTGTAGTGGGATATTTGCTTATATAGTGTGATATTTGCTTTGAATCAATTGGTATCTTATTCATATTGATATAATTGTGCTAATAAATCTTATTTGTTTTACAGTCTCTCATAAATGAACATTGATCTTCTTAATCCTCTTTTATATATATTTTTCTTTTATACAGGTTTTTTGTTTGCATTGTTGAAGTAGTCTGTAAGGTCGAAAAATATCTTATATAGCTAATGTTATTATGTTTTTTCTGTTTCTGTAACAGACTATAAATAAAGATTATCTCATCTTATCTTGCCTTATATTATACCACCTGTTTCATATTGTAACAAGCCACTAGAATAATAAAATGGTTTTTATTTGCTTTTTTATTAATGAAAATAATATAATTTTTTGGCTTAATTGGTCTTTAAAATTTAAGATATTCAGCAATAACAATTAAGCAAAATTGACATTTAATAAACAAACCTTTTCTGATTTACAGTGCTGCTTGTAGACGCTGCAGGCAGGGGTGACTTTGAAAGTGCTTCAGAAATGCTGCTGGTTTCTTGTTGTAGGTCACAGTCCTTTGAGTTACTCAGATAGTGAAGTCCATCTGAAATGATAATAGTTTAAGCCTTAATATAGATTACCATGGCCTACAACCCATGATTTAATATTAACTTTGATTGCATAAATATAAATTATAGCCTAAGATACCAGAGACATAGATATCTGCATCTCTCTGGCTATAAAAAACATGTTTCAATAAAATTTTAGCAGTAAATTAATGATTATTATTAATTAATATTTATTGTGTCCAAAGAACAATTTTCCGGTATGCAATTTTTTAGAATACAAGTGGGACAGAGATAGTCCGAGTAACCTATAGTCCAACTTGTCCTTGTCTATTTGTTAATGATACAAGCGGCCTTCTTGTAGGTACATGCACACCCATTTCTAAGACGAATTGGTGGGGAAAAAACAATATTTTGGTACTTGATTTGACATGTTTTCGTGTCTATGGATACTTTTTAATCTTAGTGTAGCATGTTGTTTTATTTTCTTTTACAAAGCTTCCAGATAAACATAGTAATTTGCGCAAAACACGTTTTCAGTTTGTGGGAAATTTTGAAATCTATTTATAGATTTTTATTTATAAACAGTAAAGTGAAAGTAGAAATGAGAGCAGACGAACTTTTGAACAATAAGCAAAACTGGTAAACTAGATGTATTGCGTTTAAAAGATTACAGATAAGTTTAATACCTTGTTCATCAGTATCTAGTCCACCTTCTATTCCCGAAAAAGCTGATGAACTTGACAGCAAGTCGCCGATACGCTGCGACTGCTGACTCACCCCGACACACGGCCCACCACCGGTCTTGCGTCGTTCTAGTTTGTCTTTCGTTAGATCCTCTTTAGCCTTCCGTTTCAAGTTTGCCCATTTATCCACACAGGCCTGCTCTGATCTCTGCGCGTATCCAAGAGCAGATATCTTGTTACTAATCTCTTTCCATATTTCCGACTTTCGGGCATTTGTTACTTGATTTGTAAATTTTGAGTTGAGCACTTCAAAATTTTCTTTAACTAATTCCTCAAGAAGTAAAGTTTCATTCACATTGAAATTTGTTGCTCTTATCCGTTTTACATTATTTTTTTGTGAAAAGACATTGGATTCAGATGATTCAGAGGCCATTTTGCAGACTACAGAATGGGGAATTATGGGATTGAATGAACCTGTTAACAGCTGGTTAAAATTTAACAGGGGTGTTAATTAACACTCCTGTTAAAAAGTTTTGAGCAACCAGTTTTTAACAGGCTGTTAAGTAACAGTCGGTTAGCTATTTAAACGGACTGTTAATTTAACAGGCAGTTAAATTTAACAGAGCTTTGAGAAACTGGCCCCTGTTAAGTAACAGTCGGTTAGCTATTTTAACGGACTGTTAGCTTTGAGAAACTGGCCCCTGATGTTGAAATTAAAAAAATGAAATAAAATTTCAAGTGGACACCTGAATTCAAGAAAGAATGTTGACAAAAGCGTTCATATATCGGGTTTTCTTTTCCACTACGTTACTAACGCAGTAGCCAATATAAATAAGAGAAGATAATTCATTTAACGCTGTCACGTGTCGCAACAGTGATCCGTAAAAATCCCAGTATCCGGTATGTCCGGGATCGTTTATCAATTTTCGTTATAAAGTAAGCCCTTAATTATTTCATTTCAAGCTAAAGGTTAAATCAATAAATTGGTCATCATATATATGAAATAATTAATCAATTATAATGTTCAGTGCCATGAATTACTACAAATATAAAAACAAAAGCGGTTATCCGTATCGCTATATGTTTGATAAAATCCCGGATTCCATGCGTTTCTCAAAGCACTGTTAAATTTAACCGTCTGTTAAATTAACAGTCCATTAAAATAGCTAACCGACTTTTAACAGTCGGTTAAAAACTTGTTGCTCAAAACTTTTTAACAGGAGTATTAAGTAACACGCCTGTTAAGTTTTAACCAGCTGTTAACAGGTTCATTCAATCTCATAACTCCCTATTCTGTAATTTGCAAAATGGCGTCTGAATTACCAGAGTCTAAAATAATCATGTTTAAAAAATAGGAGCAACAAATTTCAATATTAACAAAACTCTTCTTCTTAAGGAATTGGTAAATGGAAATGTTGATTGGTTAACTCAAATTATGACACATTTCACATTATTCACATATATACGATATGTACACGGCATAAAAAATGGATGCTTACACCACATATGACATCAGGCTTGACGTCATTAAACCAAATAACGTCAGGAAAATTGAGTGAGACTAAAAAAAAGGATTGGAGCATCACATTCAAGTATATACCGGACAAGGCGCTTGAATGATAAAATGCTAAAATCTTGCCTTTTTACCCAACGGAATGAACTTTAAAAGGTCTAATTCATCTTTTCACACCGATTTTTGTATGTAAATGCATGAAAAATGTAATAATCGGCGAAAAAAACGATATTTGTTTATTTTGTGATCATAAATTTTGCAAGCGTCTAGAGGTACTGCTACAATCCTGTAATGAGTTAATCCAGGAAAATTACTTCTACGCTATAAATTATGTAGTTGGGTTTATTATGCAAAGGCTTTGTAATTTATTAACGATACAGGTCTATCGGCGTGATTATATTCCTGCGCCCATGCATATTATTCTACAACAAAGCAATCAACAACCTAAATTTACCAGTGACAAATTCACGGAAACCTGAAAATAGGAAATACACAAGGTAAGTAGCTGTAGGATATAATCAACAAACAGAGCAAGCGTGTATTGAAAAGTACATTTAGGTCAACCTTAAAGGTAGGCTAAAGAAGACCAGGCTTTTGTTATGTTTAGGCTTATAATTTTCTAACATACATGTTGCTGGAAACTGGCAATTAATGAAATCAAATTAGATGTATAATTCAAAGAGAATAATCTCTTTTACAATAATAAACATTGAACTTTGACCTGTGATTATTTACCATGTGAGTTGATTGAGGATATAATATAATTAACACTCTGAGAGATCAGTGTCGGAAGCAAAAATAAATATGTTTGAAGAATAGATTTAAAAATAATCGTAACAAAATCGTAACCAATTATCGTTACAATTTTTGCTTGGATTGATTATTTTTTAAGATATCTCAGAATTCCAATTAACACTAGTTAGAAAATAGTGATGTAGACCTAATATTGTTACAGAAAAACATCCACGCATAGTTGTTTTAATAGACACTTAAAATTGAAATATCTTATTTTATTCATTCAAAGTATAATTGTGTGTTTTAAACCTGAACAAAAACAAATAATTTATGGTAATGATTAAATACATTTAAAAAATGTCATGTTTTAATTGAAGAAATTTCAATTGGAGAAAAATGAACTATAAAGAATTGGTTAAATTTGTTTCTTCATTATATCTTTTTTGATAATTTGCATATGTTTCATTTAAATACGACTGTCAATGCATAAAAATAGACAACACACATACAGAAACATTCCTAGGATTGCTCTGTTAAATATTAACGGAGGTTCAATCCTCGATTAAATTAACAGACAGATTCAGCCGTTAAAGTTAACGTTAAAATGAGAGTTAAATTTGAGCAACAGAATTTAACACAAAGATTAAATTTAAATGTCTTAGTTTATTTAACAGACGGTTAAATTTAACAGAGCTTTGAGAGACTGGCCCAAGGTGAATATCGATTAGATGTGGGTCAATTATTCCATATGTGTCTGAGGGAGTCATTTCTCTTTAGGTTAGTCATATTCAATGGAAAAAAGTGGTTACTTTTTATATAGAATAATGACTTGGGGTCATTTTGTTAATGGGGTCACTTTTCTCCATTACACTAGTGTATGTTTCACTCATAGAAGTTTTGAGATACCGGCATATGCATATTTTATTTAAATTTACAAATGTCGAAGTATATATCACTCATTTGTTTTCGAGTTCTCACCAAGTAAGGTACATGTGTATCACTTATATAGAAAACTGTATACCAGCATAAAAAATGTATCACGAATTCAGATGTATTTATCCCTAGATATGTGTTACAAATTTTGAAGTATTTATGCCGATTTAGGGATCAATCATTTTGAAGTGTTCGTACCGAACAAGATGACGAAATGGAGTGCAGGAGGATTATTGAGATGAAGAAAAGTATAGAGGTGGATTCTCTAGATGGAGAAATGGAATGCATGAGGATTATCAAGATGACAAAAAGTATAGAGGAGGATTCTCTAGATGACAAATGGAGTGCAGGAGGATTATTTGGATGAAGAAAAGTATAGAGGAGGATTCTCTAGATGACAAATGGAGTGCAGGAGGATTATTTAGATGAAGAAAAGTATAGAGGAGGATTCTCTAGATGACAAATGGAGTGCAGGAGGATTATTTAGATGAAGAAAAGTATAGAGGAGGATTCTCTAGATGACAAATGGAGTGCAGGAGGATTATTTAGATGAAGAAAAGTATAGAGGAGGATTCTCTAGATGACAAATGGAGTGCAGGAGGATTATCTAGATGAAGAAAAGTATAGAGGAGGATTCTCTTGATGGAGAAATGGAGTGCAGGACACATTTTGTTTTATTATAATTTAAAAATAGTGTAACGGAAGCAATGCAGTGTACGATTCATACATTAATATGATTTTAATATCTGACAGGAAAATTTTACTATATTTGTGTTCGCGATGAAATTAAGAATGAATAATAAGGCCACTAAAATTTGGCATATATGGTTGATTCTTTTATGATTTAACTTATGCTTATATTAATTATGAAATGTATTCATTTCAAATAAGTGACTTTGACTTGTATGTGTATATAATTTAGTATTGTAAATAACTTTTTCAATCCTCAAATTTTTACATTTCTGCTGCTTGAAAAATGAAGTTTCATATTATACTTAATGCTAAATTATCAGTCTATAAAGTACATTTTATCTTGACAAGTTTGTAAGGATGACTGCACCTAACCCATATATATTGCAAAATGTTTATTTAAAAATTAAACATTATTACAAATGCATACCTTATTTAACTGTCAGCCTTGGTTTGATCATGCGAGAAACGTTGTGATAGTTTATATACCTGTAAGTTAAGTGCACAAATAAACTGTGTTGGTTATTGCCTTATTTGAACTGATACACTAGGAAAGTGGTATAAAAACATTTATCATCAGAAGGCATATGCCTTATACCATTTAGAAAAGCTAAGATACTGTTGCACTAAACAATACACATAACACCATGATAAAGGTGTGTCCGACGGAGCCATCGTATGATTGCAAACAATCCATAGCATTTTTCTATGAAATCAATATAGAGTTTGGGTACTTGTTCACCACACTTTTAAGTCCCATTATGATTTATTATTTTATAACGTTGAAAATAAAACATTTTACCGTCAATTTAATTTCGTTAAATATGATCAATAATAAAATTGTTTGAAGGCCAATAATTAACAAAAAAGTGTTTTTATTTTTATTTCCCAAAAGTTTACGTTTTTTATGTATTTATAAGTTCTAAAAAAGTTGCTAATTGGCCGATTACGTGAATGATTTTTGGCAATAAGTACATTTAGTGATTTAGTATTTTGCATGGACGTCATAATACTTCTTTGTTTACATTTTGCTACTTGTGAAACAAATAATTTTGTTGTATTAAGCGCGACTTCATTCAGGTAACATTTTTTTTTGTTTGGTAATATTGACCTTAGACTCATTAATGTATGGGAGGGTTTTCGTTAGATTTCGTAATTCATTATAATTTACGCTTAGGATTTTAATAACTGTAAAGATCTCGATATCAAATCAATAAGAACTGCTCGATGGCCTAAGTGATAATTACGACGGAATTGTGACCACGTAGTTGCTAGTTCGCACCTTTGTAGTTTTCATATACTAATAGTTTTATTATTTATTTTAATTATTTGAAAGATTTGATGAATCGTGAGTTTCAATTCACGCATTTTTTAAATTTCATAATTATGATAAATACATATTTATTTCATTTAATTAATTTCAATAAGTATGACTACATAGTGATACGCATGCACAACACACAAGGTCAAGTTTTGCAAAATATAATGAAATTCATTCATTCATTTGAACTTCAATTGCAGCGGTGCTAGTGAGGCAAGTGATTTCTGGCAATTCTAATTTTATACATCGTTTCATCATTCATTTAAATATCCATATGGTTTACTTCAGAATCTGATAATTACCATTAAAGGTCATTGGATATTCAAATGTCTCAGGTCAATATCGGTAAACAAAAGCATACTCCAAAGCCCATATTTTAAAGTTACAAAACTTACGTTTGCTCTATCTAAAGAAATGTATACGTGTTTGTTTCTAAGGCATAAATGAATAGAATTGAACGATATGTGTCAGGATCGTATTTGTTACTCAAAGTGGCAAAGATTTGCAGAAGTATTATGGAAGAAGTTAACTTGCATTATCACTATAGATTACTTGCATTATCACTATAGATTTAGTCACAATGCAAGGGGAAAGATCGGGTTCTCATTCAGCGTAGGTACGTACATTCGACATTATGTTATCATTGCTAAATATGTAAGGAATGTCAAAGTGTTAATATAAGTCTACAATGTTATATGTTTTAAACACAAAAAGACGGGAGAAATGCAATCATACGATTTATTTTGTATAAAATTCTAAATGCATTTTACGCAGAGTTAAGTTTAAGTTAGGATAAGAGAAATTTCAATGATTTTTTGTTGTGAATGATATATTTATAACTTTTTTAACTCAAAAACAGGTTTATTAACGCATTTTGGTCGCATTGAAGCCTATCACGTGCGGCGATGCGGTACGCAATCCACACAATTTTCTACGTCATGTATTGTGAAATACTTACTGTTATGAAAACTTACTTAAACTTAACTAGAACGATAAACGTTACATTGAAAAGCTGATGACTGAATTAAATGAGCCGCGTCATGACAAAACCAACATAATGGGTTTCCGACCAGCATGGATCCAGACCAGCCTGCGCATCCGCGCAGTCTGATCAGGATCCATGCTGTTCGCTTACAAACCCTATTACAAGTAGAGGAACTGATAGTGAACAGCATTGATCCTGATCAGACTGCGCGGATGCGCAGGCTGGTCTGGATCCATGCTGGTCGCAAAACCATCATGTTGGTTTTGTCGTGACGCGGCTCAAATTGCTATTGGTGTGTCTATGACTTGAAATTTGAAATTCATATTATTAATCTGAAAGTGTTAAGGTTTGCCTTTATATGCATGTAAATGACCATCGTTCATTTTGATGAAGACCAATTATTTTTAAATATGCTTTTATTATTATTTGTTGTGTCCAGTTTGCGTGTCCAAAATTCAACTTGTATATTTGAGCCATCTTTGAAAAACTTGCTTCTTTCGTAGTTTTGGCAATCAGGGCAGTTTTAATGAATAAGTATTTTGTATCGAAGTCACATATAATTTCACAAGAATTTAGTCAATGGTAACCATATTTATAAACACGTTTGCCCTTGATGATGAAAGAAAAAAAGAAGATAAATTCCTTGTGCATAATGTACCTTTAAGTAGCAAGATTGATATTCAATGGGATATATGGAACAACGAAAACAGGTTGAAATATTTATTCGTATTTAAAAGCAACAACAAAAACAGACATGATTATTGACATCTTATAAACCTGTAAAATAAGTGCACTAAATGTGGTTCATATAAAAGTCATGGTTTAGCAAAGTTAACATAAAAATACTCCCTCACCCACTTTAATGCATTGGGTTGAAACCACTATTAGGTAATTGCGGTTTTACCTCTTTAGTGAAACATTTGTCCCAAATCTTAAGCCAGCAAGATAAACAAGTTGATGCCGTGCTATTATTTTACATGCCCCTTCATTTCCACTTTCTTGAAACAATTACTTTTAAGGCAAAAATGGGCACCAAAAACTAACACTCTTGCACCGAAATAATTTGATCTGGTTCAGTTTACACGGCAATACATTTGATACTTTAAAGTCTTATTCACGTTTTAAAGCTAGCGATCTGAGAAAATTGGCAAATAACTTTGTTGATGTTCTGACCGCATAATTATGCGTCAATATATAACAAACATAGCTTAACATGTCAAATTTTAATATATAAAGTTATCAATGCAATTTTACAAGTTATCTTAAATTTGAAACATTAAAAACACAACATAAAATATAGTGTATCAGCGACTATGATTATTTCTTTGATAGCAATAAATAATATTTATCAGTTCTAGCATTATATCATTATGTTGCCATTATTATCAACAACTTTGAAAATATATACTTAAGGACAATGAAAACGCACGCCCGCACTATATGCATTTTATTACATAAAAACAAAACACTTACGATTCCATTAGATATATATCATATCTTTAATACAAAACGCAAACTTAATAACTGAAAATAATTCAAAATGTTTGAAATCAAATGTACAGCAGTAAATCGAAGAAGCTAATGTGAAAATCACAAAATCACACTTTTTAATCACAGTACTGCAAACTTAACAAAGGCAAAAACCAAAATGAAAATCGAAAACAAAGTCACTCCTAAATGTCTATTAGTAATGTCTCCGTCGGGATCTTTAGAAACGACAATGTCCTCCATCAGCGTCTCTTACAGATGTAAATCGTCGCCTTATAGACCTTACGGTGCGGATAGTCGCCTATGGAATCTGACGCCATTCGGCCAGTAGTGTAGAGCGAAAACGCTGGTGAAGCCGAGTAATTGTAGACCGATGGACACCAAAACGTTTGGCGCTTTTTTTTGTACGATAGACCAGACTGAATCTGTCCTAAATCAACACAGCGGTTATTTCCTTGTAAAAACTTTGCATACAATTTGCTAGCAAGTCTTCAGTAGTGTTTGAAATTTAGCACCTTTTATAGAGGAAAAGTGTGTATATGCAATATCCAATTGAGCTTTTACGATTTCTAAAACTGACCATTGGAATATTTTAATATTCATCTTCATAAAGATTTAATTACTCATTTGTGTCTAACATTTCTAGAAAGGTGTGAAAAACAAGTTTATAATTAACAGTTTAAAAAAATTCATTTTATAAAGTAACCATGAATTGGTTCAATCTGTTTTTCTTTTGAAATCTTATCACAATTAGCCAAAAGTGTTACTTTTGATTTTTCAGGTACTGTCTTTATAATGCAATAACTTCATTAAAATGCAACCATTCTTCATAACTTTGGTATCTAAATGACCGGAATGCATTCGGTTTTATGAAACAGATAAAAAATATTTAAAAGAGATATAATTTACTTGTTAAAATGCAATTATCCCGACCGTGCGTTTTCATTGTCCTTAAGTTTAGTTTGGCAATAAAATTTACAATTCTGAAATAATGTATTTCTGAAAATATCAGTAACAAATTTAACAATATGTCAGTCGTGAAATATTGTATAAAATAGAGAAAAACGGAATTCCTAAAGATCGCACAAAACGCCAAAATTTAAAAGGTTGCAGGCTCTGCAGTTATAACTCGTCCTAACAATATACAGGTCTGCAGATATATAACTGCCTAACAATAAACAGGACTGCAGTTATATAACTGCCTAACAATAAACAGGTCTGCAGTTATATAACTGCCTAACAATATACAAGTCTGCAGTTATATATCTGCCTAACAAAGTACAGGTCTGCAGTTATAAAACTGCCTAACAATATACAGGTCTGCAGTTATATAACTGCCTAACAATAAACAGGTCTGCAGTTATATATCTGCCTAACAATATACAGGTCTGCAGTTATATATCTGCCTAACAAAGTACAGGTCTGCAGTTATATATCTGCCTAACAATATACAGGTCTGCAGTTATATAACTGCCTAACAATATACAGGTCTGCAGTTATATAACTGCCTAACAAAGTACAGGTCTGCAGTTATATAACTGCCTAACAATATACAGGTCTGCAGTTATATAACTGCCTAACAATATGCAGGTCTGCAGTTATATAACTGCCTAACAAAGTACAGGTCTGCAGTTATATAACTGCCTAACAATATACAGGTCTGCAGTTATATAACTGCCTAACAATATACAGGTCTGCAGTTATATAACTGCCTAACAATATACAGGTCTGCAGTTATATATCTGCCTAACAATATACAGGTCTGCAGTTATATATCTGCCTAACAAAGTACAAGTCTGCAGTTATAACTCTGCCTTACAAAATACAAGTCTGCAGTTATAACTCTACCTAACAATTTACAAGTCTGCAGTTATAACTCTACCTAACATATACAGGTCTTCAGTTATAACTCTTTAACCTTACGATATATCCGCCTAGCAATATGCTGGCAATATTATACATCAAAGACATAAGTCTCGCCTAACATCTTATTCCACAACAACAGCTTGGCAATATTTCAGCTTGGCATTGATATATATTAGCTTACCAATATAATAATTGTATTTGGCAATATGAAACAGCCTCGTGTATCAGCCCTAGGCGTCATTTACACATAAACATTTCCTCATACATCATATAAAATCCATTCATCTAGGGGACTTGCAAGTATGGTTAAATACAAAAACTTAAATATGACCGTATTATCAACCTTACATGACATAACAAAATGATGCACAATTTTTTAAAAAGTTCTTCGCCGAAAGTTACACAAAATAAGAAAATATATCATTGCATGTTAGTTTTGAAAGCACGATTTTAATGTAGTTTCTAGAGTTAACCATTTCAAAGGCACACAATATGCTATTGGCTATAATAATATTAAAGAACGGTTTAAATCCATGCTATATATTGGTGATATAAGGCACCTAATTGAGTCAATATAAATATACGTACAGAATCCATTTAAATTGACCATAGATGAATGTTCCTTCCTAGCATTTAAAAAATAAATTCTTGACATAAGGTCTGTCAAGCAAAAAATAATTTTAAAGAAAACTTTATACTGATCTGTCTTTCAATTTATTACAATCTGCGATGAATATTATAAAAAGTGAGATAAAAATTGTCATAATATCCGCTGTTTTATTGAATTAAGTACGTCCGACATGATTATTAAATTTGTGAAGAATTCAAACAATTAAATGTGCATAAACATGTTTATTATAACTTAAATACAATGTATTCATAAATAAATATGGCAAGCAGCAAATAAAAGCGAGCATTCTGTCAAAGTTTATCGTAAATGTACAAACTAAATAATCCACCACCGTATACAAAATAAGCACTTTTTTTGGTTTGTCTACATTCGGGTCCTAAGCGTTACATGTATACTTAAACAATTTTTTCTGAAGGTCTCTGCAAGCACTACTATTCGAGCACTAGTCAATCTTTTAACCAATATAATCATAAAAATTTATAATGAACAAGCGAAAAGATACAAAAACGTTTTTAATATTTTTGAAAATTCTAAAATAAATGCAATTTGTGATAACCCCGCTAATACTGATAGATATGTACACAGTCCTTATACATGTATATTCTATATATTCTAACAAAATCAAAACATCACATGAAATTTTACTTATACCAATACTATAATATATTTCTATTTATATATATCTTAAACAGTTTGATTAAAAATCTCATAAATTATTCTCTTTCTTATCCACCTTATACGAATTATTCTTCGAGGACAATCAAAATCAATGAACCCGAATAGATTCGAAAAATATTATATTTGGATGTAAGTGAGAAGAGTAGAATTTCACGAGACATTATTTATATTATAATTAAAGTAAACAACATTATTTATTCAGGCAAGCCATTATGTAAGTACTCCTTGCTTGAGCTATTTCTTTACGACTACGTATTTACATAATTATATCTTCAACAATTGTTTTATGGTATTTATATATATAAATTTATCGGAAGTTTAGCAAAAAAAAATGACCAAATTAAAGTAGATGATTGTACGCTAACTTTAAATTCTTTAAATATAGTTCATTTCGAACAGCTTAACAGTATAAATAGAAATTATATCAATAATTTATGTACACTATACAGCCATGAATTGTTGTAAAAGGTCTGAGCTTATAAAGGCCTTCTTCTTATAGATTACAATGTATAAAATACAGTTCGGCAGTATATGTGACTTGCTTGAAATATATTTGATTTTAATCCTTTTTATAACTTCGATTACTTTGCCTGGTAATGTTTCGAAAATATAGAAATATGACAATACATTTATCTTGAAACGCAATTTTATCTTTCGTTTCCATAACGACTATGCAACATACTTAAAGTACAACACGTTTAAAGTACAAATGATATTGAAATTGATGTTATGAGAATATTTGAACATTCCATTCCGTCGTTAACCGAAACAGTTAAATTATGTAAATAAACAAGTTGCGATATCTTAATTCTAAAATCAAACACCCTGGTGTGTTACAAAATATTGCACAATAATGATAATCTCGATCGAAATGTTCAGCAAAAGGTACCATTCCGTTGAAGACGTAATTACTAGTTTTTATGGTATCTTTATGTTATTTAGATTTCTTCACATTACATACCTGAAATAAAAGAAAATGAATAAAAGTGTGCCTTGCAATAAAATTATTTATGTATTATTATTTTTAACAAACACAAGCGTAAACAAAAAGACGTATTTGTAAAAGATAGTACTTGTCAGTCTAATGACAAAGGTTTCTTGCCGACAAAACGACAAAAACTTCTGTTTTACAAATGAATATATGTTGCCCTAATTTCTTAAAATGGTGTAAAATACACTTTGAAGTGATATGGTGCCCTAGCTTGACCCCCTTTTTTTCTTGAATAAAATCAAATAAAAAACGTCATGCTTGTGTATGTTTTATTTTCTAAGTCTAAAGAATGATTCTCATAGTCAATCAATTTGACTTTGATGGGATGAAATCCTTAGTAATATTTGCTGTGTTATTAAAGAGTTGAATTTCAAACGTTCACTATTTTATTCCTCTATGCCACATTTATTAACTCACTTTGTTGCGTAAGCTATTAAACACGCATTTGTAATGAGGGAACAATAAAAAGGTATAGGTGAAAGATCCTGTCCTTGCCTTTAAAAAAGATGAAGTCACACAAGTTACTTAAATTTGACGTTAATAGTATCTTTTTTCGTTTTTAACCAACAAGATAAAGATCATAATTATGGGGACTCTCCAGCTTAACTGATGACCTCAGGTGACCCCTTCGTGCACTTTTTTATACACGTGAGTAGAACCGATAGTGGAAGGCAAACCCACTGCAGTGAGGGGCAAGTGGTTTGAAGTCGAACGAATGATGGAGATCTATTCATAATATACACAAGGGTGTATATTTAATCTATAGCTGACACATTACATGAAGATAATTATTTTCTAGATTTATATCTGAAAAAATATGGATAACAGAGAAATACTTTTAAGAAGAACTTACGATTTACTGCTGTTGAAGCTCCCACCTGCAAAACAAAACAAAAACAAGTATACTATATTACCACTACATTAATTTGTCATGTATGAAAAAATGGTGTCAACAGCATATGAACAGTTAAAACTGAATCACCAAGTTAGACAGACTATTCGTATTTGTTTTTATTTATGTAAATTTATGTAAATTAAGAAATATTTTAAGATTCCTGGCGTTGTTAAGGGGGTCTTTGACATTTTCATCATTTTTGTCCTTTTAATTAAATGGTTTAATAACAGTTTTAGGTCTACTTTCATATTCTGAAATGAACGATCAAAATTATCAAAATATAAATCCAAGAAAGTTTTTTTTTATTTGTTTTTTTCTTCTTGTGTGAAGGGCAATAACACCCGTATCACGCAGACACCTTTATCCCTTTATATTACTTCCCTTTATATGTAACTAAGTGCGCTAAATAAAGAAATAAATGAAGAAGATAAAAATAAAAAGGTAAAAGAAAACATATATATACATGAATATTCATCTAAATAAATGTAAATGTGTAATTTGTTTCAATAACATATTTCATACTCTAATACATTTATGATAATGCGTCATTAATTATTTTATGTTTTTTCTAATGGTAAGCCTAATATATGTTAGTAAATTTACACCTCTTGGTGAGAAGAAATGTATTAAATTGCAAATAAATAATGAAATTCATGTTGAAATATATGAAACTGAAAAGTGGTCATCATATGGCATCCAGCGGTTAAATAGGTTGCAAGTACTTCAACTTAATGCACCTATCCCCTACACCCCGCATGGAACATTCACTTTTTTATTTTGCAACATATACCCTGCTGTTGTGGCTGGTTTGTGTCGAGGACAGCGTCCTGTGAACGTTGCCTTTGTCTTGCTGTTTTTGTTCTCAATTTTATATCTACTCCCAAGAAGGAACTTAAGTATTAGTATTGAATAGTTTAATACATGCTGTTCCAATTTGAAATGTTTAGACTTAACAGGAAACAATAGACTTTGAACTTATTTCATAATGAAAATTAAAAGCAGGGGAATTATTGAATAACTTACTTTTCTACTGAGATGCTGCCAAAATTAAAATGTTTGAAGAATGTTCATTTCGAATTTTTTTAAATAGTGTTATCTCAAAAATATAAAAAGTTCGAGTAAACAGCAGCTAGAACTTACGTTTTGAATTAAATCAATTAATTGTCATAGTAACTTAGTATATATTCTATTTACAAGAAATGAATTGTATTACAACCTGTAAAATATTTTGTTTCATTAGCAAATTATGTGTTCTAAATTTGAGACAATTTAGCATAGAATCGAAAATACTGGTACATCTTACATTTATTGAAACTGAGGCAATAAAGCAATAAAAAACCAACTAGTTAAGAAAATTACATATAGCTCTATATACAATCAATCAAATAATGATTGTAAGATATAACACAATTTTAGGAATGTCCTTGAACTGTAAAAAGTGTTGCAATTAAAGGTAACATATTTTGCGATTCAGTTATATCATCACGGATTAATTAGCTTGATATACGTGTTTTTTTTCAGGGTGGTTAGAAATATGATAATGAAATAGAAAAAGACGAATCCCTAAAGAAAACCGAACACGGCAAAGTTGAAAGGTTTGATTGAGCCTGTTCATGGACGGTAGTAGTTATACATTTTTCCACATAAAGCTGACTTGCGCTAGGAACTCTTATGTATTATTTATTTAGTTTAGTAACTACATTTTTCATTCAAGAAATTTTCACTTCTGATTTAATCTACTTGTATCTGCCCTGTTCCCGGTCATCGTCTGCCTTGTCTGTCTTTTTCGATTGATTTCTAAGACTAAATGACACAGAAGGTTTACCGAAGGACTTTAACTGATTCCACAACCCTTAACATTCTGAATAGCACTCAATTGAACACTGAGCTTTACTAAATAAACGTTCGAAACTACAAGCAAAGCAAATCGTTGCTTATCTGGAAATTAATTCGTAGTAAACTAACATATATAATGTATCTGCGATATTTTTTCAAACAACTTATTCATTTTTCTAGCACACCATCTCACCTTGTTAACTTAGATATACTAGTATCATGTTACAAGTTTTTATTATAAAGAAACTAAAGCATTTTGTTATAATTTACTTACATTTCCCTCTTTTCACAGCACACACAAAAATGGTAAGAATGATGAGGAAGACACCAGCTGTGGCGAACACGGAGATGAGGATGGCGTTTCTATATTTCGTCATGCTCACCATTTCCTCCTCAGATGTTACGACTTCTTCTAGAAAAAGGATAAATAAAGTTGTTCGGCTCTAATAATTATGATTAATCAAGAAAATAATTTTGAACAGATTCAGAGAATCGAATTATTTGTTGTTGTTTTTTTGTGTGTGCATTACAATGAAAATAAATTCTGGAAACAAAGTGATCCCTCGGAAGCATTAATCACAACAAAATTACAAGAGAATTGCAAACTCGGTTTGATTGAGTCTGTACATGAGGGATAATGAATACGTGCAACATCCCTCACGCCCCCTAGCACCGGCTTGAGCGGTACTCAATTCTCAACACTTAATAGTGCTGGTACAATGATCCCGAAGGACCAGAAAGTATAACAACACTGAAGTGAAGTACGGGGCTTAATTACTTAATTATGGGTTATTTTAAGTTAAAAAAGAAACATTCAATTGTTTACGTTGAATATCATTCTTTTACATTTGATCACGGACATTGCATATCGGGAGAGAACAGTTTTTGACAAGTTTAAACAGGTATCACACAAGTGCACCATGAACATAAATGAAATCATGGATTTTAAAGATATTTAATTATCTACGCTGAATACTTTTTGATAACGGACCAGACATATCGGGAAAGGGCGTATAACAAGTTAAAACATGTAACATAGAAGTAGAAAAAATAATTCCGGGTACTAGTTTAAAGCAGAAAAGGGTGCACAAACCTTCAATCATAGCCATTAAAGTTTTTATAAAAAGAGGCAGTACAAACAAGCTGATTCCCCGGAAGCGAAATTTAAAAAAGTTGCAATGGTTACAAAAAAAATTACAATAAAAAATGCTTCTTTTTTAAATTTAGCTTAATTATATGATAAATGGAATATTAAAATTCGTGTAGGTTCATTACAAAGTTAATTAAACTCGTTGAATAAAGTAATATAATGCTCGCCACAGACTTGCGTAATATGATTTTATTCAACTCATTCAATAAATTTAGCATTCAATATACACTCATTTGATAGCCTCTATATATTTAAGCAACAAATAACACTTACTGTCCGTTCTAAAAGAAGACTTTGCTGTATATGATATTAATCCATAATCATCCACAGACTTTATTCTAACTTCATATTCACAGTCAGGATCAAGGTTACTTTTTTTGAAACCATAACTGTAAGTTGTTGATTCTTGACCAGGTAATGTATCGTCATAGGCCGTGTCCACCTCTCGCCATGCTTCCTCGTCAACCTTTTTGTACTGAATATAAAATTTTCGAGGTATATCCGGTGCATCAGTGCCGGTTTTAATTTCTATGTAGAATTTATCAGCGTCGAAAGTAGTTTCCATTATAGGCTCAGCAGGTTTTTCTACAATGAAAATAGTACAGACAAAAACTGGAAATAGAAAAATATCTTAATAGCAATAAAACTCTGGGACATTGCCAACTGGATTTGATTTTTTGTCCGTTAATGAACCAAAAAATACAACGAAACGAAGATGAAGTACGCATCAACTTTTAATAGCTCTCATACTTCACTATACCTGCCATACCAAAACAAAAACAAAATAAGTTTGAACATTGCCAATGACGAACATATTAACATAAAGAAATCGCTATAATTAAACAGACAACATTCAAACCCGAAAGAAACCAATCAAACGGTAAAATTAAAGAATACAATCGATTTGATTGAGCCTGTCATTATAATTTCCCTTTCATGCCATGAAAAGGAACTATAGTTCCAAAGTAAAGAAAAGTGTGTGTCATAAACGTGAAAACAATAGACAAAACCAATTGAAATTGAAAGGAAATCAAACGCTATGTGAATGACGCCTATATACAGAAATTAAATTGTTTTAATGTACTATATACGAGTATAGAAGTAAAAATTCCACTATTTTCACTCAGGCTTTGCTTTGTCTCGCATTATAAATGTTTAAGGAATACACTTTATTATAAGATATAAGTCACGTACCATATACTGTTAGTGTAGTTAATTTAGTAACTGCTTTACTTATATCTTGTAATTGGCTCCAAGCTTTGCATTCATATGTAGTTGCATCTGTGCTTGATATATTTACTACCTAGGGAAATAAAATATTGAAATATAGAGTCTAATTTTATCCAAAATAATGATGACAAGAGTAATTAAATGGATCTTTGTCACATCACTTTTCTCCGGAAAGATGAAAAAATAATATAATGATAAATACATTAAATAATTATGTAAAATATGTTTCTTTTTTACCTGAAGATAAAATATATTTGATGGATCATCCGTGTTATTGCTTATATGCACAGACTCTTGGCCTTCCATTCTAAACCAGGCAATATATGCGACAGGACTACTGTCTGCTATACATGGTATAGATATATTGTCAGTGGTGTAAGCCCGGTAATGACTTAGCTGTGGAGCAAGCAATATTGGCGGATCTATAAAAATAAAAACACATTCAGAACACATGCTCTAAGACTCAAATAATGTTTATAAAAACATTTTCAATGTGAAAACAATTACAAAATGTTTCCTGGCGTAATGATCCTACCTTAAGAAAAGGAAAGACAAAACTAATAAGAAGATATCTAACGAAAACTGGCACTAGTGTAGGGATACCTTACCTTCTTTAAATGTGTTTTTTGCCATAATGACAATGTGATAAATTCAAATAGTTTGTATACAAGTTGAAAAGTAACAAAATAATGAAAACATGCAAAAGTGAACCGTAAATGCATTAAATTACAACAAAATAAATCAAGTCTGTCAATCTTACACTGTATATCTAATGTCACCATTGTGCATAGATCTGGATCAGCGCAACACGACACTTCCTGTTTATTCATTGTCCGGTCTGCGACAATGTCTATGTCTTGAGATACGTTTTTACCATCATACATTTCATCAACTTCAACAACAGGATACGTGCTATTTATTTCCGTCTTTTCAGACCCAATATACCAGTTAAGTTTTTCTGCTGGATTTGCAGCATCAGTTGCGCAGGTTAAGGTCAGCGTGACCTTCCCAACGCTGTTTACAACACCGCTTGTGTTTCCAGAGATAACTATGTTTGTCGCTCGGTCTGAAATAGTTTCATAAAGAATAAAGATCAAAGTAAAAATCTATTTGAGCTTCACGAAATCCGTAAGTTTTATGATACCGTTTATTTGTACTAAGAAGCAATAAGGTCAGCGTGTGTTATTATTCTTTTATTATTGTTGTTAATTCTTTTCTGATGCCTTTTGGATGTTGTTCATTTTGTTCTTTTTATCTTGCAACTTCGTTGTTTCACTTAAAACAAAATATTTAAATAAAATCAAGGTCAGTTCGAAGCATACTTACACGGAAGACTGATTTTTGCTGGTGATGTTTTCGTCACATCGTCGCGATAATTAGACTCACAATAGATTGATTTACCATTGTCTTCTTTCTTTATATCATTGATCGTTATATTTGACATACATGTAAAAATATGAGTTGCACTATCCTGTAAAGAAATTGTTTACGTTTTGAAATGTCTGACGTCTTTAGTTTGATTGAGTGTTTTAAAACAATTTCAACAAGTACTGCACAGATGGTTTATAGGAGTTGCCTCCCTTTTCTTAAAAAAAAGGTAACAGCTGGTTAATAGATGTTGCCTCCCTTTTCTTGACAAAAAAGGTCTTGTTTTGATTGATGCATAGCCACCAATTTTAATTTTGTATTAACCCGAAAGAGTGTGTCATGTTGGTATAATTAATAATATGTAATATTGTTGATTATTGTGAACTATATTATGGTATTGATCATAATCAAAATACAAAACTAAATGTAAATAAAAAGATTTTTTAACATAGAAAATGTATTTTAAGGTTTTTAGACCTTATATCTTAACATCGTCTCGAATATAACATTCTACTCATAAACCTTCAAGTTCCTTTTGTAATAATGAGGCTGGTAGATATTTGTCATATCCTTCATTCGAGGAAGCTTTTGAAATTGCCGTATTTCCTACTTAAACATTGTCCATTTATCTCAAATAGACAATATGATTTACCTCAATACATTCAGGCTTGTCTTCCTCAATATTAAGTCCAGATTCCGTGATATTTTTATCATCTATTAACCATTTGAGTTGTGTTTCAGGCCTACTAGTCGTGTCACAGCTTAGCTTCATCTGGTTTGATGTCAATGACGGGAACTTGGAAATCGTCAAAGCTCTCATCAGAGGTGGTCCTGAAACGAGGAACAGATATACTTGATGATTGTTTAAATGGAAGAACAATAAATTTTAATCCTTAGCCTGCTGGCGGCAACTATTTATACCATGCAACAAGAGCATACCAAGATCACCTGGTATATCCATGCGGTCTGTTCATTGTCTGCATTGTTCCCTATTCAGCCAGTACATACTTTGAAATAAATTTTTAAAATGATGGAAGGTTTTGTCCAGAGTGAATAAGGTACAAGTCCGTTCTACAATATTCATGCTCATTTTCAAATGTATGTTTATATTTCCCTGACTTCCATAAAAGGTGTCATGTGATATCAATATTTAAAGTTATTATATCAAATAAAATGGGAATTTAGTTCATAAACTTAGGTATTTGCCATAAGCATGCGTAAACTAAATGTATAAACTACATGTATATTTCATTTGAATGTGTTATCTCTATAATACTAAAACACATAATATTGTTTATACTTACGCAATAAATATATCAAAATTGTCCCATCTGTTGAGTTTTTGTCCGGATAAGAAGCTGAGCAGATGATGTATTTGTAATCGACAGATCCATTTGCATTAAATGTTACACTTGCGTTAACTGTAAATGCAATTTTTAGAAACTTTAAAATGCAAACACTTTGACCGAGTTGTTCCTTTTTTACCGCTCTGATTTGGTCATGTCATATGACACTGTGAAAATTTCTATAGTACCGTACTAGTGGCTCACTTATGTATCAAATATAAGAAAGGTTTAACAACTTTGTTGTTGATTTTGATCTTCCTATCCATATTTCAATATTTCTAACGAAACAAAAAAGTTGATATATCTTGTACCAACAGAATAAAGTCAGTAAATGATAAGTATTTAAAAATATAGTATGTCTCTTCTGTTATGTCGCATATCATTGGTTTACAGAATTTCGTACAACGTAAATGTATTCCTTTGCTTAATATTTTCTAATCATACAAAACTTATTGTAAAAGATCTGTACAGCTGAAATTAATCAGGAATAATGAACGCAGTGTTTGGTTTTTTTAGGAGACTCGATGTGATAAAGTATGTTCATAAGAGACTGTGAATAGATACCTTGGTATGTATTTTCTTCTTTCATTTCTTTTATTATTGTCACGGGTCCTATAGCTGGTGCATTTGTGGCGTCATCATCAAATACAATAGTGACATCAGGCGCAGGATTGCCGCCATTTGCTTGACATGTGACGGTCATATTTTTATCAATCTCTCCTACTAATCGTTCAGTATTGGTAACATCTTCTTTGTCGACATTCAAAAAGGAAACTGTTACGTTATATGCTGTAAGTGAACATAGAGAAATTATAAAATCATTTATAATGTAGTTCTTCTGCTTCTGCATAATATCTAATGAAATACATTTGAAAGAACCAAATATCAATGTCAGATTCCATTGTTGTGATGGACACCTTTTACCAAGAAAAATAGATCTTATTAAAACTTTTTTGTTACAGAAAAGCGATCAATAAACTCACTTAGTACATTAATCCCCTCGGCAAGTCCCTCTTTATCACCAGAAGAACATGAGTATTGTCCTGTATGTTTTGTCTCCACACTCAGTATCTTAAGGTTCTTGTCATCCATCCCATTCAATGCCCGGTTCGTTGATTGTTTGGCCATCCGTTAAAGGTGTAGCTAGTGTAGCTGGACCAGTCCATTTCGGGAAAGTAACCCCCGGAAGTGGGCATACAATTGTTACTTCGTTGTTTATTTCAACATCTTTTGCTGTTACATTTAGTATTCCTGCAATAAAAATAATGAAAATCATATGCGGCTAATATAAATATAACACACCATGTTGACATATAACCTAGTTTGTTATTCTAATTTGGTATCATAGAACTATAGATGAATACTCCATTGATTTATGTACATCAGTGTTTTTTTTTTCAGAATATGCCAATTTTACACATGTATTTTTACATTTAAAACGGTTTCAGTTTTTCTAAATTTTACATTATTGTTAAAAATACTCCAGAAACGTTAACGGTATGATGCTTTTTTCCAAAGAAAAAATTATAAAACCATAGCTTAAAAAAAAAGAAAATTTTCCCCCAATTAGTAAAAGCTAAAGAAAAATCTTTAATGTATCATGTATTTTTTTTTAGATTAAAAACCATCTTGTGAACGTTAATTAGAATATTCATGGTCAGTTTTATAACACTAACAAAGATTGAAAGCATGTATCTGATGTTACATTAGCTACAAACCTGCAGAAATTAAAATAATGTTGTTTGTTTTTAATAAGCACGGGCATGAAATTAAATAACACGTGTATTCACTCATTCTAAGTTTACCTTCTTTTTCACATTACACTGTTTCATTCAAGATACAATCTACAATTAATCAATTTGTTTATATTTCATCACTGTAAATGTGCAGCTGTTATACCGTAAGCCTTGCGTTTGACATGTTTTGTATGATTTAATACAAACATCCAAAGCTACAGTTGAATCTTATTATTTCCAACGCATTAAAGAAAAATTAGATTTAGATTTTCTTTTTTTGTCTCCATTGTTTGGTTGCATATGGTGTCTTTTGTTTTTGTTCATAACGAAGTTACTGTTATTTCAGTTTTCAAAAAGATTTGCTGTCAAATTAGACGGGTTTAATTTACAAAAGACAAAGTAAATGTTCATATATCAAAGGCTGGGAGTCATTTTGATAACTAAGACGACATCTTGGCCATATTGATTAAGAAACATTCTGTGCCGTGTATCTTTTTCTTAATATATATATTTAAAGATGTTATTTCAGAAATAATATCGGTCTGAGTGGTGTTTATCGGCTATTTAGCACCGGTTTGGAGTTTTGATGCGTAGGAAGTGACCGCGAAGGCCGTAGGCCTGAGTGGTTAATTTTTTTCGCATAAAAACGACAAAATCGGTGTTAAATAGCCAATAGACACCACCGCTCAGACCGATATTTTTTCAATTCAAACAAGATAAAATAAGGAAAATAACTAACGCTAATTAGAAATGAAAATGTTGCTTAAAAATGCTTTGTAAACTATATAATCGAGGGAAAAAACATAACAGCCGCATATACAACTAGTCCCTTACCAGTGATTATTGGCAATTTAATACCGTTTTTTCTTCGTTGGCTATAGTTACAAAATCACGAGGAGTGTTATATTTTTCCATTTTATTTGAAAACTTATATTCTGGTGCAGTCTATATGTCTGTGCATTACAAAACAAAATGTATACTTATGAAGTCAGCCAAAATATTCTAAGAAAGAGCGAAAATAAGGACAGGTATGAGACACCGTCTGGAAATCATACGCTATAGAAACTTGTCAAAGATCTATTAGAATAATGTGGGAATATAACTGTGCCTGTGAAAAATGATGAATTTATAGTCTTGCATTTTTTGTATTTTACTTTTTTCCGCACATCTGCGAAACATAGACTTCACTCTGTCCTGTAATGATCAGCTTATACTGTAAGCACTATGTGTCACTTCCGGTTAGTCTCTACGATATTCAAAGATATGCCTACATACAAGCAAACAACGTACTTACGCTGATGCTTAAGTTAGCATACAATAATTATTCATGCACTCTTTATATATAGTATAAAAACGAGATACAATATTGTAAAATAGATAATATAAAATTATGTACCACCAAATACTTTCTAACAAATGTCATTCGTGTTCGGACACTGTTGCATTATACAAGAAATAACTTTTGATGCTGATAAATTTCGTTTTAGGATTTCTCGCTTCAAATACATAAATTAATTTTTGACACAGTGTCTGGAATTGCTACTTATTTTAGCTATTGTCCTACTACTAAACGATGATAAAATTGCTTTTTGATTATTTATCCCACTATTTTGGCTTTGACATTATAAATATTATTGTATCATAGTTTGAGGACCTTTCTGTTGAAAAAGTGTCAGAGTTAAATCGTGTACATGCACAGTGCGGTAACTGGAGTGCAGGTATCAGTTACCCGCACTCCAGATAATGCCCGTGGATTGGTTCATTTTTGCCGGGGTTTACATATTGTGACGGCAGAGAAAGGGAAAGGGGCAGAACTATCATATTCAAATGCTCGTTCATTGGTCATTTTTTTCCGGGGTTTCATATTATGACAACAGGGAACGTGCTGTCATGTTTGACTATGATACAAAATAGAAAGAACACCAAAACACTCGGCAATCTGATTTATACTCGGGGGCTACGCCCCCTCGTACAAATCAGATAGCCTCGTGTTTCGGTGCTCTTTCTATTACTTGTATTCTCCTATCCCGTATAATAATAAGCGTAACATCTGTTTATTTAATATAATTGTGTGACATATTGTACATATTGAATATAATATATTATACTTAATTAATTATTACTGCTTTTATTCAAACGTTCATGATCAATAATTTTGAAGCATAATTAATGTTAAGCAAAATTTCCATATAAATAAACGTTAGTTTTGATTTTCATTGAATTATTTCAGGACCGTAAAGGCGTTTGTTTTACCTACAGAACGAGGACATCTGTATAACCCTCGTCATCATATGGACCTACTTTGATTATGTATATGACACCATATATTGATATCACGACCACTAGATGTTACTTGACCTATTAAATGATATACCCATTTCTAGGCAAGTAGCTAAAAGACTAATTCTTGCAGCAACATATTTATCTATAAAAGCTTCACCTCCATATATCATCATTTACGTATGAGATTATTGGTTGTGTTGATCAACTCATTCGCTGATAACTTTTGTAATTTTAGCATGCTATGTGAGCATATGTTGGAGAAATTTGAATGTATATATATATATATATATATATATATGATATAATATCCTCTTATAATATCTGTGTCTACATGTATAAATGCCTACTGCAAAACAAACGGTGTTAAAAGAAATTTATTCTAATCATACCAGTTAACTACTTTTAAAATTTAAGTTCGAACAATACACTTTACGTTGGCCGATTTATTCTCTGCATTAAATATTCAAAGCTGAATAAAACGTTCAATCATGCAATCTTAATTACTTTATATCGATCTGTCTGAAATTTTAATTACATCTCTGTTCTCTACAATAAATGTCATGTTTTCTACATGTTAAGTGGCACGCTATTATTAATTCTTGCCATAACAGATAGCGTTTACTTTGATGAGGCAGATTTTGTTTCTGTTTTGATTAGAAAAGTCTGATGCATATAAAATAAATATAAATCAAATTCAGATAGATATTATATCACCGAAGGGATTATAAAGCCGTGGGTGAATTTCTCTAAAACGATATCAAGTTATAAATAGTAAGTGTTAATTGTTGTCACCCATTTTTTAATGGGTATATAAACTCCAGACCAAATATCATTTTGCAAAATAGAAGTACATTGAGATAGATGAATATGAGTTTGCAGAGATAAATCGCTTCTATTAAAGTTCTAAAATACGCAAGATAGTATTGAATTTTATCATTATTTGAAATTAATACATGCTCGCAACTTTCATTTTGAGAAATGAACTCCTTTGTAATAATACTATAAAAAAAACTCACGAAAACAAGGACTATATATATCATTTTTATTTTTAGTCTGATTCATGGACGCTGTATGTCTCTCTCCACAAGGGGAGAGCTGGGGGAAATATATGGGACATACTGTTTTTGTTATCAGCCAAAACGTTTCAGTGAAAAAAAAAATGTAATTCATATTAAAACTATTATATACATGTACAAAACAAATTAGCATAAGAAAATGTGTTATAACTCGTAAAAAAGCCAGATAACATTTTCTAAGTATATGAAAATATTATAAGCATTAAACGGAACGACACAACCATAAAAAAAGATATTGAATTAAACTTGATAACTCAAAATGTTCAAAAACTTACCCGTAATCAAAACAAATAAAGTTTTCTCCATCTCGTAACGTCGAACGTAAACAAAAATGTAATTTTGTTGTATAATTACATTCAAGTAGGAACACGTACACGTTTAAGGTGTTAACTATTATGTTATAACTTAATGTTAACTTCAACGAAATTTAGTTTGACATAACAAAATCTCGCTCAACAAGTACCTTTTACCGTATTATAACTTCCTTATGAAACATGCTATTGTAAATATAGCTTTTATCCTTTTTTTAAGCAGTCTCGTTTATACACTGTTGCTTATTTTATACACGTATCAAATATCAAAATCTGATATCATTTTACATAGTCCGTATTTCAATTAAAATAACATCAGAAAAGCAATAACTTACTCGATGAATGAGTATTTGTTTCAACTGTGTACATAATGGAGTTTGCGATCTTTTTTATAGTTAATATGAAGATGCATATTGATTGTTCTTAAGTAATACAAAACGATATACTATGAGTTTTGTTGAATCATCGTCCTGATCATTTTCATTAATTAATTAACTACTGATCTGTTGTTAATTGCTTTCTGCCCATGTTGATGATAAAAACCCTAAATTTAAGGGATAAAAACTTGTATAAAATCATTCCAAAGGCCAGGAATGTTTTCTTTTCTAAATTGATTGATATCTTTGAAAGGTTCAAAGCAACTAAAATAAAACTAAAATTTATTATATTTTGAATGGTTTGATATTCAAATGAAACTATTGAGTAATACCTAAAAATGTTAAATAAATCAATTGCAATGTATGTACATTTTCACTGATTATAATTGTTTTTTTAAATGTGTCGGTGTGACGTTAAACCCAATCAAACAAACAAATAAACTAAATTATTTTTGAAAAAATAGAAAAAAAAAACAAGCCGATTTAGAAGATGCGTGTTAATCAACCAAAATATTTTAATCCTGTAGCCTTAAAAAGATCTATACTTTCAATAAGCACTAAGATATTAACATGTGTTCTACATACAAAAAGTATATATCAAGACATGAATTTAGTTATATATATCCATTGCTATTTTTAATGACCTGTTTCTGTTTAAAACCAACTTCATTGGGATCATATAGCAGCCTTTCGTTATTTTTGCTTCAAGCACATGTCCCTAGCCTTTCCTCCTCATCGTTATTTTCTTGACGAAAGTGCAGACACATGTGTACAATTAAAAAATTACATCGCTAACTGCTAAATAGTCATAAAAAACTGCCCCTTTTCGATAATCTATGTAAGTTTTTTAGACGTTGGTCAGGGAAGGATTTGGTTCTTGTTAGAAGGGGGAAAAAAGGAAATAGATAAAAGATTTCGGTGACTTTGTGGTATATTGCTATCATTGTAAATATTAAATAATTCATCCCTGACAGCACATATATATACTCTAGATATGCTGCGATATATCTGCACACAATATTATACTCACAGAATACTCACATAATACCCATAGAAAAAGAAAACAAATATATCAAAAAAACATTAAACGTGAATAAAGAAATAACCAAGCCATATAATCAGTTTTGAATTCAATACATAATAAAAGTAATGCAGTAAATGAAAACAAAAAGATCTTATCCAAATGGCAAACAGTGAATAATAAATATTTTTAATAATAGCTTACTAATAAGTTTATACGAAGAACCAAACTGATCAGTACGTTAATTAAAAAAAAAGTACATCATTCAAATACATACTTTTTCATGATATAAAGACGAATGTGTTTTTGTTTTAATATGTTGTTGTTGTTTATTGTTGTTGTTATTGCTTTTTTGTTGGTAATGTTAAATTTTGTCACTTTATTTCGTTCATGAGAACGTATAGATATATTTTGAATATGATTCTCTACCATTAAATGACACAAAATAATGCATTTTATTAATGTTTATGATAGTGAAAATCTTCCCAAAATTTGATCAAAATATAAACTGATGACGCAAATAGTTTAAATTTGAAATTTGAAATTTCATATACGTGATGAAAGTTAATTTTTTGAACTTATTTTACATATCTGTTTACTCAACAAAGAAACGAGAGGAAGTGAAACAATAATACATCAACTGTTGACAGCAATTACTCTACACGGCATCAATCTATCCCCATGGCAATATGTTTTCAGCATTTCTATCAGAATATATGATTTTTTTTACTACGTGATTATTAATTTTTACGTTCAATCAACAAGATATTGATGCATTGATATTACCTGTAGGAAGCAGCCTTTACCGGCTAATAATCGATTTTCTTGTGTTCTAATAATATCAATGCATTTATGACTCATATGTTTACATAACTTCTATAAATTATATTGTCACATTTACAAATACCTAATAAGAAGATCGGGAAAAACATGTTTTTCTTTCGAATGGAGCCTGCAGTTTTTCTTATTAACTAGAGTTTGGCGATCTTTTAAGTTTTCATTGTCAGGTTGTTAATATATTGACAACACTCGGGGCTGATTGTGCCGTTTGTTGGCCGTTCACCACAGTACTTTCAGTCACAGATGTAGTATATCTAATCCTAGAAGATCGTTCAGCAAGACTTTCTTATTGTGTGTGTTGTATTTCTAGTTCTTTAAAATATATTTCTTGTAAATATGTGGGTCTTATAATCTGGATAGTATACAACATAATTTAAGTATATTGTTAAATCACTTAAACGATATATTGCTTGCTGTTCTTTTTCTTTTGTTTTTTGACAGTTGTCTATGATACGCAAGCGTCATAACGTCTTATTCTCTGTGTTCCATTTTACATATTTCTGCCCCCTTTTTTAATTTTAAGGCACACACTTTAAGTTCATTCAGGAATTATTTAGAACTATAAAGAGCGGCATTTACGGTTTCAACATCACCGTAATATGAAACATGAATCGACATGACTTGTAACTGCGTAAACAACGACTAATCAATATTGTTCTATGATAACATTAAAATACATAATTCAGTTAACAGATTAACAGATTCAACAACCAATTTCACATTGGACAATATATAACTTAGAATACATTTACTACTTTATAAAGCTTATTGATTTACACCTACATATATTCCTTGCTACACTGCTAGTAATATCCCCGCTCATTTATTACAACTTTTACACATCCCATCCCCACCCAATTACGCACTGATCCCGTTTTATACATCGTCAACAATACATTTTTATCAAAGGTAAATATATGTATATGGAGTCACATTCAGATGCGTGATCGTACATAATATAATTGGACTGATACCAATGAAGTAAGTTTCTGACATAGTGTAAACAAAAATATATAATTTTGGCTTCCAATTATGCAAGTTACATATATAAAATATATAATATTTGATAATATTGTATTTTGAAACTTTTACATATTTTAAATTTTAAAAATGCTCTACTTTCATAACCTGATATTTAAGATTGATGGATAGTTGAATTGTTGACGTTTCCTTGAAACAGGTTCTTTAAAGAAAAGCATACTCCAATTAACGCATTATGTTTAAAGGAAAGTTTTTACAAAATGTATGTAACAAACTTTTTATTTGCTCAAATATTTCTAGTAATTGTTAGTAGTAGTAATAGAAGGTTTCCTCGCTGATAAACTGCTCCGTAAGATGACTCTTGTGATAATCTCGTGATAATTTAGCAATATTTTATTTATTTTGCAATTTTCATTTTATTTAATTGTTAAAAAATAATGTGGATAATTATGGGCAGATATCGTTTCAGGTACGACATCGATTGTTGCAATGAGTTCCCTTTTTCCTATAGTGGATGTAAGCACAATAAGCCTACAAAAGAAGCCAAGTGAAATAAACAGACAGGTACTTGAAGCTATAGCAAAACTACTTAAAACTAGTTTTTGCAAATTCGGGGCGTGTTATGTCACAAACCATGGCATCGATTATGAAGATAAATACGTGAACACTTTTGGAAAATTCTTTAAACAGCCACTTGAGGTGAAGACACAACATCTTCGCGGAATGCGGCGTGATTTTGGTTATACTCCAATAGGACAGGAACGTCAAAATCTTGAGAGACCTGGGGATTTTAAGGAGAGTTTCAATTACCAGCCCGCAGACGACCCAAATGATTGGGAGAACAACGACTTTCCGTCTGCGTGTAGAGTAATGTTTAATGATTGTGAGATACTCGGATACCGTATGCTTGATGCACTTTCCATAGCACTTGGTCAAAACCAACTATCTAAGAGAAGGGCACCAAAAAATTGGTACACTTGAAAACCCTACAACGTTAAGAACGCTATACTATCCTCCAGTCAAGACGGATAGTTTGGAACCTAATCAAACTCGTCTAGGGGAGCATTCAGATTACGGAACAATATCATTTTTGTTTCAAGACAGCGTTGGTGGACTGGAGATTGAAGTTAAAGATAAAGGCTTTATTTAGGCGACGCCAATTCCAGGAACCATTCTTGTTATTGCTGCTAATTTACTTCAACGATGGACTGCTGACAGCGTACCTTCATTGGTACATAGGGTGATGATTCCTGATGACGTAAAATCAAAAAGGAAAGCCCAAAAATCGGCTGTGTTCTTTTTATTGCCGGATCAAGACTATCTGGTAAAGCCAATGGATGGATCAACGAAGTATAAACCGATCACATGTTTGGAATATTTACAGCCAATAATCGAGGGCATTGCTGGCGTAACATACTAGGATTACCAACTGACATATTTATCAATGCGTTTGTTTATATACACGTCTATCGAAGAAAAAATGTTTTTTGCAATGTCATTTTTTGTGGACGGTACATATTAAATCAAGCAATGAACAGTTTAAATCAGATTTGGATACTGTGTCAGAAAACCATATAAGATATATTGTCGATAAAACTTATATGATAAACTTTCATGTCATTTTGCTAATTAAATACTATTTTAACACGGATATTAATACATATTTGTTTGTCATATTTCGGCCGTAAGTCCACATAATAACTAGCCAGTAATTATCAATTTCTCCGCAAGTGATTTCTGAATAGACTCAATTTCCGAGATAATTTCGCGCAGGTCAAGGATCACAATAGGAACCTGTGGATTACAAATCCATTAAGCTAAGCAGGAAGACAAAACGTTTGTATTCATAAAAATGCAATGTCTGTATTAAAAATAGTACATGTACTACCTTAACTTAAGTAACAGAATGGTGACGGTTGTACGAAGATTTATTATCCTAAGGAAACTTGTACACATCGGTTGTTATCTTCATTTACAATTTGCTCCTATGATAACAGTTATCATTTAGCCTCAATTTATCTGTTATCTTGCCTATTATCTATATATTGTATCATAGTTTGGAGACCCTTTTACTGAAAATGTGTCGAGGTTAAATCGCATACCCATACATGCACAGTGCGTTAACTAGAGAGCAGGTATTGGTTACCCGTACTCCAGTTATCGCACTGTCCGTCGTTGATAAACATGGAGTATGCTCGTTGATTGGTCAAATTATATTCTAGGGTTTACTTATTATGATAACAGGTAAAAAGATAATGACAGAAATCATATTTAGATGCTCGTACAATGGTTAATATATTCTTGGGTTTCATATTGTGACGGCAAGGAAAGTGTTTTTTTTATCTATTTTTGCTATCATACAAAAGAGAAAGAACATCAAAACATTTGGAAATTTGATTTTATCACGTACACATCAGATAGCATCGAGTTTTGGTGTTTTTCCCATTGCTAGACACATGCTATGTACATCATATGTACCGGAGTTGCCCTGTCTCTTCTTTGCAGCTAGACTAATTCCTCAGTAGCGTATACATCGAAGGTACAATCTGCTCATCTAACGTAAACTAATGTACCGGGATTTCCCTAACCATGTAACATATTCTTGGTTTATGTGGACGCTGTATAATTATGCCGTTATTTTCGTGACAGTTATCTTTATATCCTGCGTAATAATACAATACCGCAATGATGGCACTTTTTGGCTTTCGTGGCCATGGATTCCATACTTATTGCATAAACATTGAAATATATACATTGCATAATACATGATGTGATGGGGTAAACAAATGATAAACAAGATCAACAAGGAAAGGCGGCGTTCAATGAACGCAACCCCCACACGACCCAGCAACAAGAACTAGTGGCAAGGAGTCCAGGCGGACCCCAAACAAAAACAGGACAGGGCACAAGACAGAGCACGGACAGGCCAATCACTAAAAAAAATTTTTTTCGACATGCAAGGGACACTTCTACGAATCAATACTATCTTTTCTCTTTTCTTTCTGCTTAGTACTCATTCTGAATAGTAGACTCCACTTTAAGTTGGAGGTCCATACGAAAATATTTGCAATTGTGTCCGTCGTTTTAAGGATAAATATTCATATAAAGTACATGTAAATTTAGTGTGCAAGAATTTATTGCGTGCACATGAATAAGTTCGTTCTTTAATTTTATTAAGTTGATTTAGTCTACTTAATACAAAGCTCATGATACCTTATTTATGGAGATCTAAAAAGGAATACTAATTTTAATTCGCTTGTATCATAGTTTGGGGACCTTTCTGTTGAAAATGTGTTAAATCGTATCTATATACCGCCTCCGTGGTCGAGGGGTTAGAGTCGATGACTTCTAATCCAGTTACCTCCCTGGCTTGGGTTCGATCCCCGAGAGATGCTTTTGTAGTTTAGCGCGGAGGAAGGTAGTCCAGTACTGGTGTAAATCTCCAGGAACGACGGTTAGGAAACTACCCGCCTATATGACTGAAAAACTGTTAGGAAAAGGCGTAAAAACAAACAAACACAAAACTATATACATGCACAGTGCGTGAACTGGAGTGCAGCTATTAGTTACCCGCACTCCAGAACATGCCCATTGATTGTCTCATTTTTACTGGGGTTTACTTATTGTGACGGCAGAGAAAGGGAAAGCGACAGAAATATCATATTCAGATGCTCGTTCATTGGTTACTTTTTGCTGGCGTTTCATATTGTGACAACAGGGAACGTGTTTTTATGTTTGACTTTGATACTAAAGAGAAAGAACATCAAAACACTCGGCAATCTGATAAATACTTGGGGCTACGCCCCTCGTACAAATCAGATAGCCTCGTGTTTCGATGCTCTTTCTATTACTTGTCCGTTACTATTGCATTCATGTGCTAGAAAATTAAGAAATAGGCTGTTGTTTTATAGCATGCAAACCAGCATATGCTTATGAGCGCTTGTGTGACATCATAGGCAATAATCATGATAGTATTTTATTATGATAAATGTCAGCCACTAAGTCTTGGCCTTGTCAGTGTGACATAAAAGAATTGCATTTTGACAAATTTTGTAAGATTAATGTATGACAAACTTATCCATAATACGAGGGGTGTTCGGGAAGTTTAAGGACTTTTGCTGTAGATTGATAAAAAATAGGAATTGAAAAAAAAAGAAAAACACTATAAAAATATTTAATTATTTTACAGCAAGCTGTAAAAATTACAATGAAATGCATCAAACAATAAGTAAATTACAAATAAAACAAAACATACACCAAAGCATATCCGGAGCACGCTATCGTCACGTCAGTGCTAAATATGTTAACGTCAAATTTCCATCATCGTCATATCGACTCACTTCTCGACGTAATCTCCATTCCTAGCGATACATTTTCTATGCCTCTTGACCCATTTGTCGTACGTGTCCTCATATCAGATGTTGTCGAATGACGAAACTATTCTCTGGGTTTCAATTTGTAATTCCAACCCGGAATCAAAGCGTCGACCACGCAGCTGTGCTTTGATTTCCGGAAAAAACTCGGAAATCTATTGGCGCGAGGTCCGGCCTATAGGGTGGATGCTCGAGTGTCTCGAATTCCATCTAAATACTAGTGATCTACAGCATTTCTTTGTTGTACTAGATGCTTGAATCATTTTATACGTCTCCGTTGGTGTTTTTTCTATTACTACACAAAACTTGATGATTGCCCTGACTTCAACGTCGCCTATTGACGTCATTTTTCTCTTGATTTGTGTAAGCACCAGTGATGTTAAAACCGTTGTTATTTGAACAATTGTAACGATTTACGAGTATAATTTTCAGGAAATGACGTTGAAATTGTATTTAACGCTCGTGCTTTTTCGCGACGTTATCCATTGTAATTTAAGAAAATTATTATCAATTAATTATATCGGTACCATTAACTTAAATACGATAAAATCGGAGTGCTCCGGGTATGTGTTATGCGGTTCCTATAGAAACAAGTTTCGAGCGGTATTTGTCTCTTCTTGTTAGTGAGCGTTATACTACATATTGAGCACATATTTAAATTACATTTTGTGAAATATGGATAAAAACGCACCATTTAGGAAAAAATACAGCAAAAGTCCTTAAAATTCCCGAACACCCCTCGTACATGTATAATGTACGATGTATAATAAGCTATATGTTAATATTTCAAAAAATTTCATATCTCTATTCACGCATGTGCTGATAATATCGTGAACATGATTGTAACATTAACTTTACACTAGCGGCTCATAAGTATGTCAAGGTTTATATCGAGGGCAATTCAAATTAATAGCACAGTACAGTTACATCTGTGATATACATGGTCAAGTTAATTTGCTCGTATGCATTTGAATTAGATTACAATTGATTAACAATATTGTTAACTAATGTATTCTTCGCAACTTAAATGGTGGAATAGTTAGTTATTCGACCATAATTACATACATTATTCAGCAAACTGACACATCCGCAATACATGCGTAACGTTTAAAAGTACGACTTGTTAAAATACATTTGTAGTTCGAAATATTACGAGGGCCGTTCATTTTATTATGTCAACTATATGCTGATTGTAGAAATCATGTACAACTTGTGATCATTTGAAGATTCAGATTGAATATAGTCTGTGTTTTTTTTTGTTTTTTTTTATTATCCTTATTCTTATTTTTTTTTCTTCTTCTTCTTTGAAGGGAGGGAAATTGAGATATTGACAAACGTAATTAATATGTCATCATTCAGCTATATTAATGTCTGAAAAATGAAAACAAATTTAATTGATTATTATGTGTATTAAGTTTACGAGTGACACAAGAAATTCTGGATTTATAAGATGGCCCCGTCCCAGACAAAAACTTCTGTATTCTTTCACGTAATTTCAAATTTTATATTTGAATATCTATATAATTGATATGTACTGGGAATTCTAAGAAATTGAAAGAAAAAATAAATTAATGTTAAACGAGAATGACTATTCAAATACAGTCTGAGAAATGAAATTATTATAATGATAATGATTATAATAATTCCTAAATCATGTTTATTTATCGGTCAATATATTGCTATTCAAATACAGCCTGAAAATTGAGGTTTTCCTTAATAATAATGATGATGATGATGATGATAATAATAATAATAATAAAAAATAATAATAATAAAAATAATAATACTACTACTACTAATAATGATGATGATGACGATGACGATGATGATGATGATGATGATGATGATGATAATAATAATAATAATAATTAAATAGTGTTTATTTATCGAGCAATTTATCTTACCACTCTAATCAGTCTCTATAGTTACTTTTAAGTTACTTGCCTCTGAGAAAATCAAGAAATATCGACTTTTCCGTCTTATACAAATAACGTACAACCTGTCTTGAATACTTGTTTATGCTTATCAGGAATGTTTGTGTTCACGCGTCATTCCGGGCCTTATTATTTTTTGTTTTATAGTTAAGCAATTGTTTGATTAAATCTGAAAATGTTTGAATCAGTATGTTAAGCTTCTTATCTATAGCTGAATATTAAGGGCCTTTTTACAGATCAACAAAAGTTCTTTTTCATTTTACGTGACATATATGCATTGTATTTCCAATGAGAGTTCTCTACCTTAAGGTCGAGTTTAAATCAGGCGCTCTACAATATTTCTTGAGCTCATGAGAGAAACAAAATCTGACTTTATAAAGCTAATAATTTCAAGTGAACTTAACATAAAAAATTCCGTTTCCTAAAGTTGCGATACCAGAACACATATCATAAAATGATGAAACACAATTTAACTTTTGCTCTTGAGCACAAACCGTGTATTAAAAGATAAAAGCTCTTTTTACCATATAGACATACGGTGCAACACCCTCTCAAAACGAATTACATTTTGTATATGAAGTGTTTAGAGCCTATGATCATACAGAAGTCGTCCTAGATGTATTTTCCCGTGTATCTCGTCAACAAACTAAATAACTTATAGTAAATACTCAACTATTGGCCATGTCTTACCATGTGATTAAGGGCGTTAATGTAAGATTGTCTGATAAGTTACAAGGACACAAGCAAGATAACAACACGAGATATTTCACACGGAAAGCTACAGGATATATCAGGTATGTACTAGTTCATCCTCGTTTCATAAACTGAATGATGCATTATCTATTAAAATATATCACGTCTTAAAACGAAGAAAAAAATAGACACAGACTAAATGTTTACATAAGATATATATTAAGTATGATCTTTTGCAATACCTTTTATATATTTAATTGTGTAGTGTTCAAATAAAGCTTCAACTAGATTTTAAAAGACTGATTGATTGGGGTTATTTTTCTTTATACAGAATGTCGGATGTGTGCTCTCCTATTCCTATTGTTGATTTGGATAGAATAGGTGTGCATAGAAACCCCAATGAAGTACACATCGCTGCATTACAAACTGTTTCTTCATCATTGAAAACCACTTTCTGTCAATATGGGGTATGTTACTTTAAAAATCATGGTATTGACGATGCATTCATGGACAATTATATGACAGTAGCTAAATCGTTCTTTGAGCAGCCGGTGGAAATGAAATGTCAGTACGTGCGTGGCCCAACAACGGATTTCGGTTACACGCCGATGGAAAAGGAAGTTGTTAATTTCAAAAGACCAGCAGATCTAAAAGAGGCGTTTACCTATCAACCAGGGGACGATCCTGGTGATATGGCAGATAAAAAATTCCAACAAAGCTTGAATGAAATGTTTGCTCATTGTACAGTGCTAGGATGTCGCTTATTGGACGCCCTTTCACTTGCACTTGGCAAACATCAACTGTTTTTAAGGGAGGCGCATAAGTTGATTGGAACAAAGAACAATCCGACAACACTCAAGACTTTGATGTATCCACAAATGTCACCAGAAAAGAACATTAAACCAAACCAGGTTCGTTTAGGAGAGCATTCGGATTTCGGAACAATGACACTTATGTTCCAAGATGAAGTCGGTGGTTTGGATGTATTTTTCCCGGGTAAAGGTTACATACCGGCAACTCCCATACCTGGTACAATTTTGTTGATTGCTGCTAACTTACTTCAACGCTGGACTAGTGACTCAATTGTTTCTGTACAGCATAGAATTCTTGAAACAGAAGATCCAGCAAAACAAACCAAAGCTCGCCAGTCAGCTGTATACTTCATAGTTCCAGACTTTGACAGTGTGATCACACCAATTGACGGTTCAAAGAGGTATGAACCAATCACGTGTAGAGAATACGTAATGCCAAAGCTTGAGGACACACTAAGTGAAAAGAATTAGATATCTTCTTGATGACTTATCTTTTAAGTAGACAAAAAGTATTTTTTAAGAAATTTACGACAGAAACCTTGATTTTAATATACTTTTTAAGTGTGATTGAGAACTATTTTGAAAACGACGTATACAACAATAAGCGGCAAACATGTTCTAATGATCCATTTGTAATTAATATGTACTGTTATAGATGTATATAAGATAAAAACATTATTTACATGCTTCACTTCTTGTTATTTGAAGGTCAAAATTCAGCTGCTATAAAATTATACATTCAGTATACATGTATATTATCTTTGGTTTAATTAAACAACCAACAAAACATCAAATTGTAATCAACACGAAGCACGCAATGTTACCATAGTAACCAATACGGTTTTATAATATTGTTCTTAAACGGGCTTGATTTAATCAGATTATTTATGTTTCACAAACAGAATTGTTTGTTAATTTGGAAGACATGTATATTCAGCTTCTAAATAAAATATCTTAAACCTCAGGAACATGAAATATATATTCGAAAATAATGTTTTTATTACAAAAAAAAAATAACAATGTTGACAAGGTTTCTTCAAGATGTCTGCCATCATGCACATGGTTACTTATATATATAATATTTTGTTCTGTTTATTTATTATTATTATTATTATTATTATTATTATTATTATTATTATTATTATTTCACAACTTAGTGTAATTTTTGCTTTAAGTCATAATCATAACTAGAAAGGCGTTGTAAGGTGTTGTTACTTCTTTTGTTTTGTTTTCTTGTTGATTTGTTTGATTTTGGTATTTTGGTGCGTTTTGTGGTATTTTTTAAGAAACTAGAACAGAACGATTCTTGTAACAGAGTGCTTGTGATGGAAACTGTGTTATGTACAGGTCAGTAGGTGTTTCCTCTGAAGGTACAATAATTTTGTTAAAAAAAATAAAAAGATATAAATGATCATCTATGCTGATTTTTCTATCTGAGATGTAAAGAGAAATTATATATTATTAAAAAAAGTTATTTAAGGTTCATCTTTAATAAATCATACAAGCGATATTTCAAACTATGTCGTTTAAACAAAAGACGTTGTTAGTTTATCATTGCATGCAACGTGTTGATAGTTCTGGTCATTCTTGTCAATTAAGCTACAAAGACATTATAGAAGTTACTTAATTAGAGGTGTAGGTGTTATGTGATTTGAAAACTAGGAGAAAACGGGGTATATACCGTTGACGACAATAGCAAGAAGGGACACAAAAAGGTCACCACATATATTTTATAAACAAGACATTCATTTAAGTAACTTAGAATGGCGACGCCTTGGAATGGTCAGCAGAAAAGGGCTATTTGGGAGTTTAAGGTGGTTATTGATAAACAAAACCTCACTCTTAGCCCTAACATGTTCCAGTTCAACGAAACAGAGTTAATCGCGAAATTCTAAAAAACAAAATTCGATAAAAGAAAATTATTAAAACATAGAATTGATTATGTGACTAAATAGAAATAAAATAAACAAATGACCATTCAATGTAAGAAAATGACCTGCAAGCCAGGTAGATGACAAAAGACATAGACTTTTTAAGTGTAAAGTATACACTTTAACTTTGTAAAATCTATCTTGCCATTTATTTCGATGGGTTGTATATATTTTAACATTTGGAAAAAATCTGTCCAGAATTTTAGAATTTAACATCGAACAGTGCTTATTCATCAGAATGAAAAAATTGCCCTATTGATCGCTGTATTATAACATCATATTTTTTCATCATATTTTTTCTGTTTCTTTTGATTGTATTAGCTTCATACAACAAAAAATCATACCCAAGTGATATACACTCTCACGTTGTACCCCTTAATGCATGCATTTACTAGTTTCGTCGAAACCATTTGAAATAGAAATCTACTGCTGAATTAATTAATTAATCATAATGTAATCTAAGTAGGTCATTTTGATTTTATTACCATATTGATTCTAACACAAGTCTTCGTTGTTAAGTACGAGATTACCTGGCATTACTGAAAATAATTATTGCAACAGCGACGATAATAAAAAGATCAGTTAAGGAATGAACGATCCGTTCTGCTAAACCCAAATACAACAGAACTCTCAAAAGCAAACAACTTTAAATGTAATACAATTAAAGGAATTTTCAATCGAGAAAAAATACTTTTTCTATTTAGATTATCTTTGTGATCGTCAGATCACAAAGCAATGGTTAATCACATTTTCTAAATGGTGCAGTCCAGCTTCCAGAAACCTAAGGTCATTCTTATCAGCATTAGCATTATTAGCATTAGCATAATTAAATAGTTCAAAACTGAACTACTGAATACATGTTGACATTGTGTAACTTCAAAAGCCATAAACGTCTTGTAGAAACTCATAATGAACTTGTTAATAGATATTCAATAGACTACTTCAGCGTTGTTCAAATATAGTAAAATCAATCACTGTTTTCTATTAAAGTTTTAGTCTTTTCAAGACATGCATACAGAACTCTATGCTTTTGGTAAGACTTTGTGTCAGTATTTTAGGCCCTCTGCCCATCCGAGAACGAAAAAATACTAAGTTGGCGAAATGATCGACAAATAAATAAGATGTCATTAGTTTTCAATCTTGGTATAAACTGTTCTACGAGTTGGAATGTATGCCTCAACAGCGAAAATTTCGAAAAATATGTAGTTTAGGATAATGAATATTTGATCAGCTACAAACTTTACAATTAATTATACTTATTTTTATTTGTTACAATAAAATCAAATAACGTCAGCTACGTACATAGAGCCTACTGCATACTTTAATAAGCTCTATGCTTATTGAATTTCCTTTTTACCAAAAGTTACCAATAAAAAACATTTTTGGAAAAAGCTGTTTTAAAAAATGTGAACTGACAAATGTTCACGAAAATATATAATAGGTCATCTAAATGAGCAAACGTTTGTCCAATTCTTGATATTTTTCCTCATTCCCTTTCATTTCCTGACAACAAAAGAAATTTACTGTTTGTAAGTTTACTGATAACATGGCTTTTTAAAAGACATGATGACGCTGCGTAATGTGTCGTGAAACATAAAACATAAAATAAATCTGTACATTTATAAGAACATTGATAATGTAGAGAATATCAGAATAAACCTTCATTCGAGCACTTGCATCTATGTAAATTATGGGTCAATTGAAATCAATGTGTTTTATCTGTATCTGAATGTTTGTAAAGGGATGTCCAGTCCAAATTTTGACAAATTGTGAACATTGTTACCTTATGGCATTGTAAGAAATTTGAGGATTTTCGCACAACATAGAAAAAGCATAAAACTTGGGTTGGAAAGGGATTTTCATTTCATCACGCATTATCAAAAGAATCTATTGAACAGTTACAGAAAATTTTCTATAGTTCCTTATGTTAGAAAATGCCTTAAGACTAAAAAACTTTGTATAAGGCAACACAATTGCAAGTGACCATATCTTGAATATAATAGTCAAGGGTCGCCAAATGAGGACACGCTGAAATGATTTAGACTCGATTTTGGTCGTAGATAACAGTGGTAACTGCAAGATATCCAGCAGGAATCAATATTTAATATCAAAATCATGAGATTTAATTTACTTTTAGCAGCATCTACAGATGTGTCCCTAAGAAATTTGAGAAAATATATACTGTAACTAGATTTTATTCAATCTGATAAAGTTTTTTAAAAATGCCTTATTTATATTGAATGCGAAACGTTTCCCTATGGCTGTTACAATCCAATTAATTTTCGATTATAAAAGTGATAGACACAGTTTATTTTGTCTCATTCATTTAGGTAAAAGTCCCTTAATGTCAAAATGTAAAATTGTATAATGATAAACAATGATCTAAATAAACATTTAAAACATACCCTATTATGCATTATGCATGTACATTACATATAAAACATATTGCATCAATCGCAATATGGCTACCAACAGAAAAATAAAACCCTGACAAACTACACGGTACTACATCTATGCGAACGGATCGTGATTTGTCTAAGTGCTATATGTCCCACCTTTTTAAACAAAAATATAAAGTTTAGCCGTCAGTAAAATACAAAATATGCTTATAGATTCTAATAAGTAAATATTCAGAAATCAAAACAGGCATAATTTCATGATCAAATATTATATGACGGTATTTATTCGTAAAAGTCTATCTTGTTAGAATAGTGCATTGTTTACTAAATTGCTGCGTTTCACACAACCAGTTAATAATTATACTTCTTTTATCATATTGTATAATAACATAACAATTAAAATGCTTCTGTAAACCGGGTGTCAATGCAACAAGAGAGGCACTTGATTAATTTTGTCGAGTATATGGAGACAAAAACTACTTTTATTTAAAAAGCTGTTTATAATTTCATTCAAATAAGGGCAAGTTTTTTTTTAAACAATTTATAAAGTATTAATTTACTATTCCTGTAAATAGCTCAAACTCATCATTGCTTTCAAAAAGATAATGTGTTGCAGAAATCTGATCATTTGTTTGTTAATGTTTGAATGTATCACTTACATACAAAACTTTTGCACATTTTTACGCTCAACATTAAGTTTGAATTATTTGGATAAGAGCTACATATATTAGGAACTTCATTTTTATTCTATTTTATGTTTTAAATAAGTAAACAAAGTAAAGCTACCGTATGATACTGACAGCACTTGTAGCACTTGGATTTTTTCTTTATTAAATAACATGGGTAACTTGGTAATCTTTAAAGAAATTCTAGTACATGAAAAATATTGAAAAGTTATGGCATGAAATACCTGATACAAATATGTAAATCCATGTATTGATCAATGAATAGACCTTTTCCATATTGTTCACAATAACACAAATGACTATACGTAGAAAATCAATGAGAGTGAAACATATGTTTGTTCCGTAGCAGTATAATAAACGCCGATGACACATCACCTGCACGCCATACCTGTATTGTATTGGTTAAAGAATAATTTTGATTCATAGCATTATTGGAAAACTTAAATCAGCATGTTTTTCAAAGCATTGTTTAAATATGAACGGAATAAATCACTTATCAAGTTCTATAGGCCAAGGTTGTCAACAAAATGCATCGTATTAAATGTCATTGTTTTAACGAATGTCGCTTTTTATATAAATTGACTGGCAAACTTGATTTAAACGTTAAATGTCGAGTGCGTAGACGTTAACTTGCACTTTCCAATACCGATCATCAAGCCTGCATTCTTTTTCAATTTTGCCGTTTTGGACTTCTTTAAGAAACCCTTCTTCTCTATTTGATTTATAATTACAAAAAGATAAACCGGTTTTTATACACCAAGGCCGGGTGACGGGTAACGAGACTTGTCAACATTTTGGAAAGAACAAACAACATGAAAAACAATATGCCTGTTTGTTCAAGTCAACCGGTATACAATATATTGTCTACATCTAGCGTATAATTGATGGCTTCGCCAATTTTAATGCATTTATTCATTAAAGATTTCAATGTATTTGACAGTAATATTTCTGATGATTAGGTTGGTTGGCAGACCTAAACATTTATATTTTAGAAACACATTAGATACAGGATTATAGATACGTTGTTCATGATCAATAGGTCAAACACTAGAAATTTATTTTAGAAAAAAGATATCATCGCAAATTTTCTGCTTATGCTGGCATTTACTTATCTACATGTACCTAAAATTCAGCAAAATGTCACTTCCATGTAATTGCAAGGAGATAATTTAATGGATATTGTGTTTAAAAAACCTAGTTACTATCCGTAGATTATGAATACAGTTTTTATTAGGGTAAACCATACATTACATGTATTACGTAAAGAAGAATTTTCTAATTCTAATTTACATTTTTTTAAATAATCTGTTCTAAGTTTAAGCATTTATGGTATTATCAAGACTTTGTCCTACTTTTTTCCATGAGATGGCCTTACTGACTGTCTATTTCGCTTAAA